TTGTTTGACCTTATATAACATATTTTTGTCAATATCTATCGGTATTTCAATTTGGAACAATATTTCACTATTTGTGAAAAAATTTAGGTTATAAGGCCTCTTATGGGCAGTGACGTCAATATCAGTTACTCAACATGTTTTCTCCGACAATAGGTGGCTTTGGGAATTTCCACTAGCAAAATGAAAATTTTAAAACTGTGTGGAACAGTAAGGGGTATCTTATAGTCGCGGCACTCGACTATATCGTTCCTTCTTGTTTTTAATTAACGTCTATATTCTCAAGCCAACAAAAAGAACTCCAAAAATGTTTCAGCTTAGAAGCAAATGGATCCAAATTGAGATATGCTGGGACATTCAAGCCTTTTAAACAATTCAACACCACATAATTTATTTTATCTTAAACAATAACTTTTGATTGGTATTCGGATTGGACCGTCATAGATTTGTTTTGTATAATAACTCTGTTAAAATACAAACTAATAATTAAACAAAAAATACTTACATTTAATCTGATTTTACCACATTTAAAAGTACAGTAGAGTTGAGAAATTTTTGGACACACTCTTCGCCCGCTTTTTACTTCCTCGTAAAAACACATACATATATTTATGTGTATGTCTAATATGTACATACATAACCACAAGTCGCGAGGTTTTCCTAATTATTGTGGCCTAGTACATATTTAATTGGGCGCATACATACGAGTATATGTTATGTTATTTCACCCCTATGTATACACTCACGTATAAGCGAAACTACACCTAACTCAAAGGAAAATCATTAGACTTTCTCAGCGACGTAGGCGGCAGCGCTATTTGATTGGTCGTTGGAGTTCGCGCTACCTTCATACTTGAGTAAAGTCATGCCGCTTAGTCTTCCAGAGGAGTCCGTAACGAGAGAAAAAATATAACTTTGGACAGCGACTAAAGAGGTGGATCAACTTAAGATGTTTTAGCGGATTCTATTCATACATACTGGTATACATATGCATATGTATGTATGCTCACTCTTGAAGGGTTCTGTGGGAATAAAATACATCTTGTTCGCTTCACCAAAAGGCTGATACAAAAAAATAAATAATATAGAACATAAGAATAGAGCAAGGAATTTTAGTTAAGATTAATTCGCGTCTTCAGTATATATTGCCATTTTTAAAAAAAGATAATTTTTCGATATAATTTATATAATTTTTAATTCAATTTTAAAAAAAGTAATTTTTTTATTTTATTTATAGCTTGATTTATAGTGCATATATCTTTGCGAAATACAACAATGTCATTTATCATTTCGAAACTTTTTATTATATATGGAATTACAAAAATTAAAGCTTTGTAAGCTACGTTTTCAGTTTTCTCAATGATTAACACCACATAAAACAATGTGAACCAATAGAAAATTCACTTCAATGGTGTTCATACCCGTTACTCGCATAGAAAATGGGTATATTGTATCCGTTTCGACCCTATAAAGTTTTTTTAGCATAATCATTTATTAAGTCAAGAATCAGTACAACTACATGGAAAAATAAACCAAACCTAAATTACATAAAAGGATGTTCATATGTGGAAATTGGAGCCTCATTGACTCCTAATTGTTTTGGCAAATACTTGCCGTTTAACTGGAAGTAGATTTTTAGCAAGTAAGCTGCGACGTTTTTTCAGTCTGTCAATGTATCTGGTTGAGTGTCTTCCAACACGCTCTTCCACAGCGAACAACTTCAAATTTGTATGAAAAGTGAAGCCTCGCACATACCAGGGACAGTCTGTTATGCTTCTTAGGACTCGATTTTGCAACACTGAATCCTTTTTAAATGGATTTGCGGGATCCTTAGATTACATTCATTCTCTCTCATTTAAAAAGGTATTCGATAATATATCTCTAACTTTGAACTTAAACTTTCGATCTTAAAAATAAGATCTTAGAAGTCCATAGTAGGCAGAAGGTAGGAGACTTTTAATCTCGTGCAATAGGCCATCATGCCACATCTTATCGAAGGCTTGCAGCGGCCCTATAAAGTATATACTCGTATAGTATATCTTGTTCCTCTGTACGTCTGTACGTCCATCCGTCTGTCCGTATTACCGCTGAGATCTCAGGGCCTATGTAGGATCAGCATCCTGCCATGCCAACTCCAACTCCAACGCTCACAAACGAAAATTTATGTTCTCTTTTTCGCTTTAAATTATATCTGGTATACTTCATTTAGATGTGCATTTTGTTGTTGCCAAATATTAACCCACCTTTCTTCATGAATTTTGTGATATTACGCCCACAAAACGCGAAAAACTAAAGATCGCAAAGATCTCGGGTATTAAAAGACTCGTCACTCTTTTATGGCGTATCCTCTTGTTTAAAACTAATAAGCGGCAATGTATATTCATTTTCGAGCGAAAACCTTTTTAATATTCATTATTTATTTTATTTCTTCAACATAATATGTAAATATTAGTTATTTTACAATTAAGATATAAATAATTATTGTTTATTTATTTATTTTATTTCTTCAACATAATATGTAAATATTAGTTATTTTACAATTAAGATATAAATAATTATTGTTTCCAATAAAAAACAAGAAGAAATGCTACTGTTACTGCTTTACACAATTTCCAAATATTAATTTTGCTAGTGGAAAATCCTAAAGCGCCAGCTATTGTCGGAGAAAGCATGTTGAGTACCTGATATTGACGTCACAGTCCCTTCTTACAAAATAGCGAAATTTTGTTCCGATTTTAAAAACCCTTGGTGCAAGGTCAAACGAAGGCATTCATAATAATATTATGTTTAAACGAATCTAGTATACCCTTTTACTCTATAATAATCTTTTTATTTTATTTTTGTCAATATTTTAAAGTAATAAAGGTAAAAGTAACAAGGTGATAGCTTCAAACCAACGAAGACAATCTTATATAAATCCACAGAATTAAAGGAATCAAGAGGTTCCTAATCTATGCAACTTTTACTTACTGACCACGCTACCAGTATCAATATGTTTATGTATGTATATATATGTTATATAAGTATAACAAAACACCCTTTAACTGTTATTTAAATTAACAATAGGTGGCTCTGATGTGTGTTTATTCGGAGTTACGGAAAAAATCACACACCACCTATTGGTAGTATTCAATGAAAACTGTTTCGTTTACTAGACGCTATGTGGCGCCTTTTGACGATAGTACTATAAGTCTATTACGATTTCTATTAGTCTTTTCTCTCTTGACATTATAATTTTCTCTTAAATTTTATTTCGTATTTTTATCGCACTAACTCATTCTCTTAATCACTTTCCCCTCATACATTCGCCTTTTCTTCAATTTATTTACTCAATGTTATTTGAATGTCCACCTAACAACGCGACTCTGATAACTTTATATTTTGTCTTCAAATTTTGTTTAAAAAAATGAAGCCTTAATATGCAGTGACGTTACCGCCAAACAATAAAGTTGATAGTCGTATTAAAATTAATTTGGATAATTTTTTGAGTTCAGTTTTCCGTAATTAGAATTTTTGTCTGGAAATATAAAAAAAGTGAAAGTAAATTAATGAGTTATCGAAAATTAGAAATGTATTTAAGATTTTTGTAGTACTAAAAATATTAATTGCAAAATTTGATATTGTATCTTTGTTTCTTATTCAAAACTTCTTCTTAAACATCGGTTTTTTTCATTTTTGGCCCTAGAAATATAGATTGCTATGTTTCAAAAATCCTTTTATTCCCACCTACCCAAGAACATTCACATATGAACCACAATTGAGCAGCCAAACCCAATAAAAACCAAATAAAAAATGAAATCAATAGAAAAACGTATCCTAAATTTAAAAACCAAACAAATTTTTTTAGGAGTATACCAGATTTATTTCATTATTATACTGAATAATAATAGAGTATTAAATCTACTATGATAAATAGCTATTATTTTAATTGCTTGGAAATATTTCTATACTCTAACTCAGTTCCTCTTCTCGTTATTGATATTACATTTATTCTACCAAAATATTATTGTTTTTAACCCAGCGAATATAAGATGTAAATTAATTTCGTTCTTCTAGATTTCTGTAAATTCTTCGAAGTATAAGGTTCGTAGGTTCTCTTATTATTTTTTGGTATTTCCAGACAAATATTTTGAACGTTTACATTCCAAAATTGGAAATGATGAAAAACAGATAAATCAGCCACAACAATAATTTGTAATTAGAAAATTAGAAAGGCCCCCTCTCTGTCCCGTAAGCTAACAAAATAAATAAATAAATCATTCTGATCTATTAAGGAACACATAAACTTTTTAGCTAAGGAACTTCTAGTTTCTACCAACATTTTCCCACATTTTTGGAAAATTTTATTAAGCAAAGGCTAATAATAGATTAAATCAATATAGAATGGTTGCAACTAAAATTATTGGCTTGTAATCGGCCTTAATAAAACTTGTTAGTAAGATCAATTTTTTTTGTTCATGTCAAGAAGGACAAGTTTAAAATGAATAACTAACTAACTTAAATTTCCAAAATTGGCTTGCACCAATTCAACGTAATAAGAAAAGGTATTATGACGAACAGCAATCACAATTTAAAGTTTTTATTTCTTAAAGCATTCTTCATCATCAGTTAGAATCCTGTGTAACAAAAACGCCTATCCAGGCAAGAACTTTTTTTCCAAGGAAATCGGTTTCCATAGCATACATCCTTGCGACAGCTTTGTGCTTCTACGCCGTCATCATCAATATTTGAATTTAAAATTTCTTATTTTGCACAACACGCGCCATATTTATTTCTTTTCTTTTGATTTTTCTCGCCTCCGCTACAGAGCACTTTTTTGCGTCCCATTTTATATCGGTCCAGTTAGGCATCCACACAGTTTCACCCACCACCAGAAGGTCCATTTCCACCCCTACACCACATTGGCCCACAATTCCTTTTTGTTTTATTACGCGAGCATTTTCTTTCATTAATAGCCGCGAGGCATTAAATTTTTAAATCATCAGCTTGCGCAAGGGATAGCGTGAATGGAAAGCGTGGCAAAGAAAGAAGGACGAAATGGGGGTCGGAATGAGAAGAAGAATACCAATGGAATAGCGATTCGATGTTAAGAAAGAGCAGGATGGAGCAAGGACCGACAGAAGTATTCACTAATGATGTCTTGGGTACAGTCGCGCATTATTTTGTACAGTGGGCCCTGGGCAAGCATTTCTCCTTTTCCTCTCGCCAAAAATAAGTTTCTTACCTACAAGTGATTCTAAGTCACTCAACTAATCACCTTGAGGTAAGCGAACATATGAAATATAACGTTCTGGAATTTTTGGTGCTTGAGTGCGCTTTAGTCGGGTTTGATACAATCATATGCAAATTAGCAGATCTTAAACTAAAAATCAACAACCCCTCAGATTCCTGTATGCGAGTCACTCGCGAGGAACACGACTTTGCAGCTGTGCCCTGGTGTCCTCGGCCTGGTCCTCTGCTTGGACGGGACGTTACCGGACACTTGATCGTCTGACCAGGGGGACTGAACACATCGCGAAAACTGGTTTTCTCACGGTAAACCAAATCAATCCGGTACAAGAGGGTTGAGTTAGTCGGGTTGGGAAAAGCCGAGCCAGATGGCCATGCGAGTTGCGTTGGGGTTGGCGTTAGGTCAGTTGGTTAAAATTTGCATAAACATCATACCTTCGACAATTAAAATCAGTACCGCTATAAACTGGTCAGACTGGTTCTGTATCTTATAACCAGAATATGCAGAAATTCGAGCCCTTTTTAAATGTCCGATGTTACTCTTCTTCTTAGCTCTAAGCCTTATTTTCCGTAGCGCAACTCACCACACGTCCTCTCTCACATGTGAATATATAATGTATGAGCTCTGCACGTCCGCGTGACTTTGTCAAACAATTTTTCATTTTCTCATTTCAAGTTTTACTACGAACCGCCGCAGTTGAATTTAAAGAAAGTTAGCGCACACACGTATATAGGCGAACCTCTTATGTTTATTGACTAAAATTAACGCAGGGGCAAAGTAAAAGTAAAAAGATAGTAATTAGAAAATACAATGCACTGTTCAAGGTATAAATACCTGTAACCCAAAGCATTGTATTTAAATGAAAATGCCTAAAATAAAGAAACTGTCATACTCGTATAATATCTCTAAATCCATATACTATACGGCAGCTAAAATTTTTGCTGAGTTAATTTATTCTTCTGAAAACAATTTTGCTGATTTCAGTTTAATAAAACTAAAACGCTACACCGTAAAAATGAAAAAAAAAACAAGATGAAACGTTATATTCGAGTACCGCGACTATAAGATACCCGTTACTGTTTTACACAATATTAAAATATTCATTTTGCTAGTAGAAATGGACAAAGCGCCAACTTTTGTGAAAAAAGCATGTTTACTAACTGATGGTGACGTCACTGTCCATGTGAGGTCTTATAACCTGAATTTTTTCATAAGTAGCGAAATATTATTCCGCTTTGAAAAATCTTTGGTAAATCGATAGATATTGACAAAAAAAATGATATACAAGACCAAACGAAGATATACTTATTATAATACATGGGCTTCACAGATTTCCGCAGTTTCCTTAGTCCTCAGTATTCCTTAGTCTAACTGTGTAGCTCTTATAGTTCGTGAGATTTTATTTTTTTTTTTGGTTTTCCGGGTTTTATTGGTTTTAGAGTGAAAAACCATCTTTGAGGTTGGTGGGCGTAAGGGTGGATTTGGCCGGATAATGATACCAATGCGAAGGCATCTCAAGATCTTACATATGTTATCTCAACTTTCTACATTTAATAGTTCCTGAGATTTCAGTTTTTCGTGATTTGTTGGCGTTAGAGTGAACGTGGCAGGATGCTAGATAAGCTTGCGCTGCGTAGGCACCTTAAAAATTTTCATGCTTAATCTCAACTTTGTATTCGTTCCGGCGATCTTAGCGTTCATACGGACAGACGGACGGACGGACATGGCTTAATCGACTTCGCTATCGATACTGATCAAGAATATTTATAGTTTATAGGGTCGAAAACGCTTCCTCCTACTGTTACTTACTTTTCAACGAATCTAGTATACCATTTTACTCTACGAGTAACGGGTATAACAAGTAAACTAATGGTTATTTGGAAAACGAGTTTTACTTATATAGGCATTATACATATATGAAAGTTCAAATTCTGTAAATTACCTAACTCAGGTTATATAAATAAAATTTAGTAATTAATATGCCGATGTCAAAAGCTACTTATATCAATATCAAAATAATAAATTAGTATACTCATTAATAGAACTGGCATGTGCAAGCAAACAATTTGTGTATTTATTTATTCTCTACACCATTTTGTTTAGTTCGCAGAAATAGGAGTGTCCCATTTCTCGTCTTTTGTGTTTTTTTTTTTTTGTAATTGCAAAACTGTTCCGCAAAATGAGGGTGGATTTGTATTTGTGGATGATTTGGCCAACCATTTTGTTTTCATTAATATTAACAGCACTCACCCTCGACAGAAACAACATAATTATTACGACAACTTAAAAGCGTTGCAAGAATATTTCCTTATTTCGTTAATTTCATATAAATTTATAGATATATATTTTAAATAAACTTTTATAGTAAAATATTATAATTCTTGTTGTTTTTACAAACATACATTTATACATATTAGTCGAGGAGTTTAAGTACATTAAATTGAAACTATTCTCAGAAAATATTATTTAACTAATTTCAAAAGGCGTTCGCATATAACCAAAATAATCTATTTCTGTTGTTCCTATGAAGTTTGTGAGCTCGTACTTAAAATTATCTGACAATTGTCCAGTCCCAATAAAATATGTCCACGCAGGTTAAGTATGGAAACAGTGAAAACTGCCATAAAAAAACGTCAGGTAAAGATTGATGAAATACAATTTAATGAAATTAAGGGAACTGTAAATGCTAAATAATTATTTGTGTGCTTAAATTTTCAATTGCCTTCTGAAATGCAACTTTTAAAAATTCTTTCTTTCTTGTCTTTATGCAAATCCGTCCGTCCGTCCGCATTAACGCTAAGATCTCAGGAACTATAAGAGATACAAAGTGAGATTAAGCAGGCTGATTCTTGAGATCCCAACGCGGCACAAATTTATTTCAGCATCCTGCCACGCCCACTCAAACGCCCATAAATCACGAAAAACTGAAACCTTTGAAATCTCAGGAACTATTAGATGTAGAAAGTTGGGACTAGGTATCTTGAGAAGCCAGCGCATTTTAGGGCGGTACCGTTATCCGACCACTCGATTTTCGCTTTTTGTAAAATGGCTGATATCTCTGATATTATTACACCATTTGACCACGCCCACTCTAACGCCCAAAAAACGCGGAAAACCAAATATGAGAAAATCTTGGGAGCTGTAAGAGTTGAAAGTTAGGCTTAGGAATACTTATTTTTGAGATGCCACTGCAGCTGGGCGTGAGTTTTCATCTGGCCACGCCCACTTTAACGCCCACAAACCGCGAAAAACGGTGGCATGCATAATATTATAGTTAATGTCTTCGTTAAACCTTGTTTAACATATTTTTGTCAATATCTATTGATTTGCCAAAGATTTTTAAAATTGGAACAATATTTTGATATATATGAAGAAATTTATGTTACAAGGCCTCACATGGTCAGTGTCGTCTATTTACTTGAAGTCATATAGTAATCATACTTTTTTGAAACAAGATGGCGCTTTGTCCATTTCAACTAGCAAAATGATTATTTTAAAATTCTGTAAAACAGTAACGAGTATACTATAGTCGCGTCACTTAACTGTAGCGTTTTTTCTTGTAATATATTATATTAAATATTTTTTAGCTCGGTATTTTAATAAGTTCGGCTAGCGTGGGTATTAAATTTATGTTTTGATTCCAACGGGATTTTATTAAAATATGTATGTTTAGCACCCCGGATATGTATTTTTAATTGAACAGCTCTTGAACTAACTAATTTTAAATTATTTTTGCTTTTTCAGATACAAAAAGACGTCTATGCCAACCACTGGGAAATGAACAAAATGGAAACAGCCTCACCTACAGTCTTTCCCTACCCAATTTGACATAAAATAAAATCTTATCGAGAGGTCGAATAAATAGAAGAAGAAATATATTTCAATACTTTTGGAAATATTTATTTATTATACCCGTTACTCGTAGAGTAAAAGGGTATACTAGATTCGTTGAAAAGTATGTAACAGATAGAAGGAAGCGTTTCCGACCCTATAATGTATATATATTCTTGATCAGGATCAAGAGCGAAGTCGAGTGAGCCATGTCCGTCTGTCCGTCCGTCCGTATGAACGCTGAGATCTCAGGAACTATAGCAGATACAAAGTTGAGATTAAGCATTATTACAGCATGCTGCCACGCCCACTCTAACGCCCACAAATCGCAAAAACTTAAAATTGCTGAAATCAGGAACTATTGCAGTTAGAAAGTTGATATTCAGAAAGTATAATCTTTAGATGGCAGCGCATCTTATAGTGGTACTACTATCCGGCCACACTCACCCATACGCCCACAAGGCTCAAAAGACGGTTTTCGGATTTTCTAGAAAAGCTGATATCTCGGTAATTATAAGAGATAGAAAGTTGGGATTAGGCGTGTAGGTTTTTATGATGCTCCCAATGCGAATTGTTTTTTTCCGATCAAGCCACGCCCATTCTAACGCCTACAAAATCCAAAACCAAAAATGCAAAAATCTCGAAAACTTTAAGAGCTACATAATTTTGCTTAGAAACACGTATTTAAGAGATGCCTCTGCAACTTGCCACGAAGTTGCATCCGGCCACGCCCACTCTAACGCCCACAAACCGCGGAAAACTGTGGCGTCTATAATATTATTATGAATGCCTTCGTAAGGTTATAAGGCCTCACATGGGCAGTGACGTCACTATAAGCATACTCAACATACTTCCTCTGACAATAGGTGGCGCATTATGAATTTCCACTAGCAAAATAATATTTAAAAATTTTGTAAAACAGAAACGGGTATCTTATAGTCGCGGCACTCGACTATAGCGTTTCCTCTTGTTTACAGAGTGAATATTAAACTAAAAATTTAAGCTTTTATCAATGCGTGCAGAACTAAGTATAAATGAAGAGATTATAATATAAACAAGAGGAAACGCTATAGTCGCATTTTTTCATTTTTAGTTTTTCGGGTTTTGTGAGCGTTAGGGTGGGCGTGGCTAGATGGAAAAAAACAATTAGAGCATCATAAAAACCTACATGTTTAATGCGAACTTTCTATCTCTTATAGTTACCGAGATATCAGGTTTTCTTGAAAATGCGAAAACCGTCTTATGAGCTTGGTGGGCGTATGGGTGGGTGTGGCCAGATAATAGTACCACTAAAAGCTGCACTGGCATCCAAAGTTTATACATACTGAATTTCAGCTCTTTCTAGCTTTAATAGTTCCCGAGATTTAAGCGATTTTAGTTTTTCGTTATTTGTGGGCGTGGCAGGATGCGGAAATAAACTTGCGCTGTCCCGGGACCTCAAGAATCTTTATGCTTAATCTCAACTTTGTATCTGCTATAGTTCCTGAGATCTCAGTGTTAATACGGACGGACACCTTCGCTATTGATCCTGACCAAGAATATATATACATTATAGGGTCGGAAACGCTTCCTTCTATCTGTTACATACTTTTCAACGAATCTAGTATACCCTTTTACTCTACGGGTAACGGGTATAAATAGTATTTGATTAAAAGGTAAACATTAAAAATGGAGCAGCGATTGCTATTGACCATAAATGCCAAAATGTTCAAATGATATTTATTAGGGTCCGATGTTCCATTTAATAATAATTAAAACCTCTTTGTGATTCAGTCAGTCTATTGTAATTCAGGTCATTATTCTAATACTCGATATAAATGAAATTTGTAAATAAATAGCTACGTCTTGGTAAAACTTTACCACCACAATCTTTGCCACTTGACGATTTTAAAAAGAAGTAGCATGTATTCTTTGTATTGTCGAAAACGATTCATTATACTCGTTTCGTACTTTTCAACGAATATCATCAAAACTATATCTTCTCCTTTGGAGACTAACAATAGGTTATAAAATCTTAAGTCTATAGACTAACAATAGGTTATAAAGTCTAAGTCTAAGTTTTAAGTCTATAACCTAAATATCTAATTGACCGCTTTTATCTTATCCCTCAAATATAATCAGTACAGGTCGCTGCGTCGTAGTCGAGTTCTGTCTGAGACCATGGTTTGGATCGGAGCGAGATTGTTTGGATGTTCGTTTAGTTTACTTCGGTAGGTTGCTTTAAGCCTTGATATCTCTTAAAGAGCTTTGGGAGTCATGAAAACACACTTTTTGGTCTATGCGATGATGGATTCGTTTCCTGCGGTATTTCTAATTGGGGACTTAGATTGGAGTGGACTAAACACAGAGAAAATCTGGAGCTATCCAGTTATAGCTTTTATACTGTGCTTTCTCAGTATCTCGTTCTAGCACCTTGGAAATCTTGCGTAAGGCTCCGATGCTTGGTAGCTTCTTCGATGCTGGCGATCTGCTGGTTTGCTGTTCTATCTCTTTTGTGTGGAAATTTTTGCTGCAGCGACAAAAACTGTATCCAGAGGGATGGTAGTGCTCTTTATATCTTCCTCGAAGTTAAGCTGTGGGTCTAAGTGATCGTGTGTACTCACATATTTCTTGTATTTTAGCCAATACGTTGTATTCGACCTCAGTCTATAGGGGCGGTTCATGATTTCTGGGCTATGAAGAAGCGCTAATAGTACAGGAGATTGGTCAGATGAGAGGTCCGGGAGCGATCTGGTCTGGCGATTGGTCAGATTGGCATTCTTAAGGCATTCTACATTGTTTTGAGGATAGCATCTATATTTGAATGGACTGATTTTGCACTATGGTTTATATAAACTAAACTAAATTATTTACAGTATTACCATATTATAAGTCAGTGATTAACGAATTCGGTATCAGTTTACTCTACAAATATCTGACCAAACAACCAACTTAACGACAAATACGAGCTTTATCGGATTGAACTCCGTACTTACATATGTATATGCTCAGTAATTTGGTATGCCAAACGCTTAACAACACTAGCGCCAAACATTTATAATGATTATATTCCTCTAAGTTTTTAAAGCTGGTTAATACCCAGTTACCTTAATATCTGACACGTATCAACACTTATTACTCTATGAAAATATTTAAATCCGTTACTCGAAGAGTACAATAAAAAAGTAGTATAACAGTTAAAAGGAATCATATATATAATGTATAAATATCTCAGATCAGATTTAGATCTTGGCCTTCTGTAAATTCCACCCCTCCCCCTTTCACTTTTTTAATCAGAATATATTTATATTGTACATTTCTATCGTCTTATTTATCAAAGTATTTTTTAATTCACTCGAGTGCCGCATTTGTCAAATACCCGTTGCAATGCCAACCAATTTCAAAATAATTATGCCAACAAAAATTGACATCTGCTTCTAGAGAACTATTAAATGAAAATATATTTCTTAATTGAGTGGGACATCTGTTCTTTAACAATACGTTTACCACTAAACATTTTTGTAGGTCGATAAGTATGGATAAAAAGGAATATTTAAAGTCATAAAAATACTTTAACCTTTATTTTAAAAAAGTTCAAGCCCTTATAGTTTCCAGGATCTCTGCGTCCGTACGGCAATTAAATCAACTGTTATTGATTCTTACAAGATACAGAATAGCCTCTATATGTAATGATTATAATTTATATCTTTATTATAAAGTTACATCTCCTATTAGCATAATTATGTTGAAATTAAAGAAGGATAAAGTTCTAAAAATAAAAAAAAAACAATATCAGACATGTTTGGTGTTTTCTTTATAATTTTAATGGAAGAATTTACAGTTTTTAAATATCAATTACAATAAATGAGAAAAATATTTTATCTGCGGTTTACATATGTATTTTTAAATTATATTTAATACAAAGAGCAGCATAAGTTTTAATTAACAACAGAAAAAAGCTGCAACTAAAGGTTCGATGTTTTATTATTTGTACATATTCGCAATGCGACTATCTATAGTATTTAAATAACTGTCCAAATATTTTTATACGAATGGGATGATAGATTTTAAATGGATATGACTCGTCCTAATGTTACAAATTAAATTTTTTTTTTGCATTTACAAATGTTTATTTTCTCCTTAGCAAAAACTTTTACCTTAACAAAAGTAAACATCTTAATTGGAGAATGATGTCTTATCCTGGATTCTATTAATCAAACATGGCGGCACCAAGTTTATTGTTTATTTGTTTACAAAAAACGCTGGATTTGGTGATAGGTTGGGCGGCATCGTTATCATGTTGCCTTGGTGCTGCTGGTGCATCTGTTGTTGTTGCTGACTTCTAGTGTTAGTTGCGTACAATTGCTGCTGAAAACTGTGATATTGCTGTGCATACTTCAGATCGTTAGACGAGGGACCCACAAAGTTGATGGCAGAGACACCGTTGCTATGACCAACATTTCCGGCAGCTGAAACTAAACTATTGTTGCTGGGTCCAATTAAGGGCTGACTCTGACTTTGTCCTTGTCCTTGACTCTGCAGATGTAAGTGTCCTTGCGCCACTGCAGGGATAACTCCCAGAACAGTTTGGCTTTGACACATTCCGCTAGGCATGTTCTTCAGCTGTTGAGGCTTGGCCTGATTGGACTGTTGTGATGATACAAACATGGGTGGTGCTCCACTATTGCAATTAGCGTTGTTAAAAAATGCTGTGGGATCACCAACGCAGTCCAGGCCATCCGACGCATGTGCAAACTGAATCTGCCTATTGGTCGAAGCTTGCATTCGTGGACCCATTGCATGCGGTCGCATGGCATGAGGACGCATGCCCCGTATCAATGACGGTTGACCAATATTTATTGGGACATCGTGGGATAATCCTCCCTCTTCGTCCATAATTGCTATTTGATTGCAGTTCTGAAAAAAGTTTATGCCATTGCCTGTGACAGGGTTATTTGATATCTTGTTCTGGTGCTGCTCGCCGGGAGAGTTAATTAATATGGCTCCTGATCCAGACCCTACCATCATTCCCTGCCCACCTTCCCCAACAGTTGGTGCACAGATCGAAGAACCATTGCCTACAGGAGCCATTTGTGGATTAGCATACCTCTGTAAAAACTCGAGACTAGGTGGCATTCGCACGTTGCCACCTCCATTATTATTGTTGTTGTTGGCGTTTTGCGGCCTCACAGGCATGTATTGTATGGTGTTCGGAGTACTCGCCTTAACTTGAATATTCGGATTGAAATTCGAACCAAAATTGACGGGCATTCGACTCATCATTCTAGGACCAGGTTGCACAATGCCTTGAAAGTTGGAAGCGTTTGCCGATCCGGGACCAGAAACTGGACCCGACCCAAGAGGAGTCTCTCTTAACACATTGGGCGAATTAGAGTTAAAGCCTGGTGGTCCATTTAAACTTCCAGGAGCGCACATTTTTGAGTTAATTATTTTCTGACCCATTGAATTCATCACGACATTCATTGGGTGGCAGTTATTTTGATTTATAGCATCCATTCCGTGTCCTTCTAATCCCGAAATCATTCCATGGTCAATATTAATGTCTGCCGATCCTGGACCCCCCATCATAGTCATTCCACCAGTACCGGCTGGACTGCCCAAACTAGACACACAGCTTGTTAATTGTTGTGACATTTGCGCCAAAGAAGAGATTGGATCAAAATTCTGAGTCATCTTGTTTGGTGGCGGGCGATTGCCACTGTTGGGATTCAAAGGAATATTATCACACCGTCTATTGAATTGTACGGATCCTCCTTGGGTTGGGACTTGACGCTGAAAACAAAAAATGTATAAATTCAGTTTTATTAAATCTAGGTAATTTATTACCTCCATTTGTATATTAGAAGTGCCTACTTTATAGGAACTTAATCCTGAATTCGTATTACTTTGCATATGCTGGTGTGCATTAAATATAACACCAGGACTGGATGCCGAAAATCTTGCTTCGACATTTGCTTCTAAAAAACCGCTTCCTGGCGACTGTTGACCCTGTGGACTTGGTCGTCTACTTTTTATGTTATCCCCTGTAATTAATTGTAGTCATTTTAATAACATTAATTAAATGCACTAAATGCACAACATCCATTATATACATTGCTATTCTGTTTTGTAGATCCGTTTTTATGTATTTTTAGTACAAAGAATTATTTTCTTTAATGGGTAAATATGTATATTACATAAAAATTCGATTTTTGAATACATGTTGTGCTATATTATTTAATTCTTTTCTCGATTGTATATATAAACAATAATATATATAATACAATGTATTCGTAGTTATAGTAGAGTTTACGTTTAGTAATACAAAATCGGCAACCCATAAAAAAAAACAAGAAGAAACGATATAGTCGAGTGCCGCTTACTATAAGATACCTATTACTTTTTATACAATTTTAAAATATTCATTTTGCTGTGGAAATGGACAAAGCGCCACCTTTTGTCAAAAAAGCATGTTGAGTAACTAATGGTGACGTCACCGTCCATGTGAGGCCTTATAACCTACATTTCTTCATAAATATCGAAATAATGTTTGGTAAATCTAAATAAATATACAAGGGCAAACGAAGATATCCACTATAATATTATGGACGCCACAGTTTTCCGCGGTTTGTGGGCGGTATAGAAAGCGTGGCCGGATAAAATCTTGAGTCGAGCTGCAGTGGCTTCCTAAAATACCTATTCCTAAGCCTTACTTTCTAGCTCTTATAGTTCCCGAGATTTTCTCATATTTGGGTTTCCGGGTTTTGTGGGCGTTAGTCTGGGCAAAGCTAGAAAGGAAAAAGTATTCGCATTTCTATCACTTATAGTTATTGATATATCAACTGTTCTATAAAAAGCGAAAACTGTCATTTGAGCTTAGTGGGCGAAAGAGTGGGTATGGCGTGATAATGGTACAACCATAAGATGCGATGGCATCTCAAGATTATAGATTTCTAGCTCTAATAGTTCGTGAGATTTCAGCGATTTTAGTTTTTCGTGATTTGCGGACGTTCGAGTGAGCGTGGCAGGATGCTGAGATAAACTTGCGCTGCGTAGGGACCTCAAGACTCTTAATGCTTAATCTCTATTTTGCAGTTCTTATAGTTCCTGAAATCTCAACGTTCATACAGACAGAAAGACTGACGAACGGGCGAACAGACGGACATGGCTTAATCGACTTCGCTATGGATACTACTCAAGAATATATACTTTATAGGGTCGGAAACTCTTCTTCTACCTGTTACATACTTTTCAAAGAATCTAATATACCCTCTTACTTTACGAGTAACGGGTATAAATATAGTTTTGAATTACCAGCAGAGGACTGAACAAACGGCTCCAAATCCTTTGGGGAGAGGTGGGACAGCGGAGTGCTCGGATTACTGTTTAAGTTATGAGTGAGTACGCCTGATGATCCGCTATTGCGATTCCGATTTTGATTTGACGGTGATGGGGTTTCACTCTGAAAACAATTTTTGTTTGCTGAGAGAACTCCTGTTGTGCCTGATAGGGATGCCGTGGTAATGGCCGGAGGAGCAGATCCAGACAATGACGTAGTGCTATCCATGCTGGGTGAGTGGGTTGGCAAACCCAAGGATGCACCAGTTGTGCGCGGTGAGGGAAGTGACAGATTGTTAGGACTCGATGGATTGGGCGACTGAGTGGCTATGGGCACTGAGGCAGATCGTTGGGTGGAATGGTATGGAGGTGGCGGTCCCTGCAGAGAACGCACTTGACTACTTGCCGAAACACCGCCATTTCCAGAAGACGTCTGCTGTAGCGGTACGACAGAACCGACCGATTGTCTGGTTTTCCCTGCCTTTAGGCGCTCTTCAAAGAATTGCTGTTGAATCTTTGACCACTCCATTTGAGCCACTCCCCCTTGGTGTGAATGGGATAGGGTATCTTGATTCGAAAGCTCTTTTGACATATCTGGTACCGAGCCGATGACATTTATATTGCAACTGGTAGTGCCAAACGAAGACAGAATATCTGTTGAGCTTCCCATCATACTGCCGTTTGGAGGGCCAGAGCTTGAGCAATGCATATTGGCATTTATTGACCCTGCATTAGTTCCAGGTACAGGCCCAGCTCCTACTCCAGATCCGCATTGAAGGTTGCCTTTCTGGCTATTGCATGCCATTACAGCACCCATATCTGATATAACATCACCAGGCAAAACACCCTCCTCCGCAAGCCCTGAAGTTGTTGCAGCCAAGAGCTCTGATTTTCCACTTCCTGGCAAATGCATTTGTAGCATTTGAGAGTTTACTACAGTTCCTCCGCCACTCTGTGTTCCCATCATCAGTTCGCCTGGTATCTTTGACAACTGTGAGCTCACACTGGGTCCGACAGAACTTTCATTTTCTGGAAAAAGAAATTGATTCATTTTCTTTATTTTTGCTAGCTGCTCTTCCCGATGTTGACGTTGTTGTGGTGTAAGATTTTCGTCTGGAACCTTAACTCCTTGCAGCGAAACAATATTGTTCTCGTGGACCAGTCCTGAGTCGCTTTCTTTTGTGACCTGTCCCAAGTCAACACCAGCTGCTTCAAGTATTTTTATAGCTTGCGATTCATTGGAAGAACTAATACCGTCTATACTTTGAGAGCTTTGGGCAGTGACACTAGCACCGCTGCTTCCGGGTCCGCTCTCCCAGCACATCAATTCATTCTCATTGACCAAGGGATCTGACTGGTCGATGAAGCTCGATGAATTCACAGTACTCCGTTTACTGTTTTCATTTTGACTAAATTGATTTTTCAAAAGACCTATGGGCTTTGAATGTGTCTGCTGATGTGTAATCTTTGATAAAGGACTAGAAACATTTGATCCTCCCGGTCCGGTACCTAGCCAAGGCATTCCCAAAGCATTGTGTCGCTGCAATTTATTCATTTTTAGGGGATTCTTCATAAAGAAGTCTTCGAGAAAGTTTTTTGTTGCTGGCTGTGTGCAGTGATATGCAATTATAGTTTGGAATTGGCCGCTTAAAACTGATTCGGCTCCCTTGTTAGCCAGTTGAGTTGAAAACACGAATATGTGATTTTGTTGTTGCATGTAATCCAAACAATTACTGGCACCCGAAGAGGTGCCATTGCCATTACCGGTTAAAAGGTTACCCACCCCAGCTCCAACTCCTGGTCCTGGTCCAACTCCACTAACGTGCGTAGCATTCAAGCCAATAGCCAATATGCTTGAGATAGGGGGATCATTCAAAGATTCACTGATAATATCCGGGTTTAACAGATTGCAACTAACGCCTTCCATGCCCATTTCGTCATTATTTAATACCAATGCAGGTTTTTTTTCCGTTATACTATCGGTTGTATTTCTTTCTATTTTTACTAAATAAAGAAAAATGTTTATTAAAATATATATACGCTGAATATATCGGAATTTTTTTTATAAATTAGAGGATACCCTTATTAAGAAGGCTATTAACTCGAATCTATACATCCTATATTACCAACAGTAAAATACTCACATTAATCTAAAATATAATTGTGTATTTTTAATATGAACACTGTTGATGGGTTTCGAAAATTATTGTTTAAACTTTTTTAAGCATGTAAAACTGAAAAATGTTCCATTTAGATAATTATATTATTATGAGAAAACTATTAAAACAAAAATTGTGGGATACATTATAATTATAAAGAAATAAAGTAAAAGAAACTGAAATCACAGCTTAAATAAGTTTTTAAATAAATTACGGTACAAGTTTGATTTTAAAATTTAGCGAGTAGATTTATTACTTTTATTTTGTAGTTTTGTTTGTTACAGCCTTTAAGTCATTTTTTCTTGGTGCCGAAATTTTAAAACAAGTTTAAACAAAAATTTATTACCGACGATAAATTCAAAATGTTTTTTTTTTTGCAAATAAAATGCCTGTTTTCTTTAATTCGGATCGTTAATAAAATACATTTTATTTCTTTTAATTTTAATTAAAATTTCGTAAAAATTAAAATAAGAACTATAAAAATGGAGACCATAAATATAGAAAAAATATATTTGACTATAGGATAACTTGAATTTGGTGTTAACTTGTTTTACAGATAGTTGAATAATGATTAATTTATTTGACTTACCTGGCGTAGCGGAGCTGTCTTGTGCATTACCAATAGATCCGAACCCAACAGGAGACATATTTGGAGAGTGAATTTCACTTTCTTCTTTTTTTATATTCGCTAAGCTGGTCAAAACGTCAGCAGGTTCTTCCTTGATAGCAATGCTAAGTGGTAAACCAGATGTGGGCCCTGTTCCAGACCCGGTACCAGTAGTTAAGCCTTTTGACTTACTAGAACTTTTTCCTGTTGAGACTTAGAAAAATATATATACACCTATGTAATCAGACAAGCTACAGTGCACTTTAGTTTTAAGTATATCATGGAAAATAACAAATTTCTGTACGTACGTTGCAGAAAAAGAGTTCTGCTTATATCGAGTTAATTTAGGAAAATAAGAAGATAGTTGCCATAAATAGTTTCCTATTCGAGGAACATTTGTTATATCATTTAGAAATTTGAAAAAATAATAATAAAAAAAAATTGTAATAAAGAAAATTGGAAAACTCTTGGAGGTAAAGCCATTCTGTATAAATTAAAGTTAAATTACAAGGCAGCCTTACCGACATCATCGTCCTTCACATTGGACTTCTTCTTTTTCGCATGATCGTCGCAATCGATCACTTGACCACTGCTGCTATTTGAGTGTTCGCTGGTGTTGTTTGGAGAGGGGACCAGACACGAGTTAATGCTGCTCGAGGAATTCTGCCTTAGCATCGGAGTACCAACAATAGTGCCTAAGGACGACTGCGATGCTTGTGCATCTGCCATAATATTTCCACCACCTCCGTTACCACTAGTTGGAGTGCCAACAGCTTTGTCACTATGGGAAAGGACTTTTTGATCTGCACCTTCTTCTGGCATTGCTTTCATTTGATCTGGAAACACTTCAAATGATAGGAAATTTATAAAGGACAAACAAGGAACAGGACTTACCCGGCGAAAGAGAAGGGAAGGCTTCGCTTTTGAGGGTCTTCGGAGAGTTCCTGCTGGTGCCGACGACCCCATTCCCGATTCCCTTTCCGGAATTTGTTTCAGATGCACTTGTTGGGGCATCGGCGTTCGGTCGTGATTGTGCCTGGGCTGGACTGCGGGACGTTGTTGTCGAGAGCATTGTAGTTTGGCATTCATGTGTACATCAAAAATAACATACACGTACACTGTCGTACACTAGCCAAATATCTTTGAAGCGATCATAATGAACGCCAAAAGTGACTTTATTCTTCCGGATTATTTCAAATTTTCTTTCGATTAACTTGCGCTGTTTCACAATTTTATGTATACATAAGTACATATGTATTATTATCATAACATGAGTATCATCAACTTATGTTTAAAGATATATGTATTTTGACTACGATTTTTAATTTGCACTGTTAAAAGTTGCCACGAACTTCTGGAAAAAAAATAATGCGCATAACTAACAAAATATCATAATATAAATATATAAATTTGCTGACTTTTGGAGTGACCGGCCACCACAATCTGTATAAGCTAGACTTCGCACATCCTGTTTGGATAATTAAATACTGAATCTGGTAGATTTAAAGAACATTAATGTAGGGTTGTTGATAATATATCAAAATATCAATATATCGATATTTTTTTCCAAAAATGATATATTTATATCGTGATATTTTTTTTGGCCAAATATCGAAATCATGATATTTTTTTTTGATATTTTTTCCTTTTCCTTTCCATTTTAAAGCGTTGATTACTTTATTAGATAGAAAGATAACGGAAAAATGAATGTTAAATCAAATTACACAAATATAATAGGCGGCACCGCCAAGTGCATTCATTGTACTAAAACAATAAAGACCAGCGGAAACACATCGAATCTGTCGTCGCACTTGCGCAATAAGCATAGCGAAGTTTTTGCAAAATGCGCGCAAAAGAAGGTATGTATGTATGTAAGGCATGTGTGTGTATGAGTATGTGCGTGTATGGGTTCCAATGAAATTCCAATTCCAATGAAATATATGTACAAGAAATACAATATATACAATATATTCATTTGTTTTAATTTTTAGCGACGCTAGAAGCAGAATGACCGACATACACATCAAACAAAGAGTATTTTTAAAATCTTTAAATTCCGCAAATTGGGCTTAGTGTTAAATTTGCTTTAGTTAAAATAATAATTAAAAAATTTATAAATTTATAAAACTTGTTTATTTTGTATTATGCAAAAAAAAATTTTTCATTAGAAAATATCAAAAATATCAAATATATCGATATTTTTCGGCGATTTTTAAAAATATTATCATCATATTTTTTGATAAAAAAAAATATCATCGATACGATATTTTAAAAATATTCGACAACCCTACATTAATGTCTGTTTATGCCGTGTTCTTTATATTGAAAATTTAACAAAATAATCTGGTAAAAAATGTTAAATGTAAAAATAATTAATATGCATATGTCCTAAGGATGGCGACGGTAACTTTATGGTTGTCTTGCTTTTTACTTCTTTTAATTATTTTATATGAAGATTTATTATGGTTGTCTAGCTTTTTACTTCTTTTAATTATTTTATATGAAGATTTATTATGAAAAAAAAACTTACAATACACATGTGTATGTACAAACATATGTAAATTATTTATTTCAGATTATATTTATCTGTTTTTAGGCATCAGCATCATTTTAAAGACACTCCCGACACACCATAACCAAATTATAAATAGCTATTTTTATTACATTTTATTGGATTATTAGCATTCCACCGTTCCATAACTGTTGGAACATGTAGAAACAGTAACAGTTACTTACTGTAACAAATGCACAGAATATTATTATACATTTGGTTGTAAAAATTTTTCGCAATAATGAAGTCTTTTTAAGCCCGATTCCCTAGTGGACGTCAAAATCATGAAACTACCTTGTATCAATCGATTCAAATATTCCATATTCAGTTTTTTGTTTCAAAGTATTTGTTTAGATTCTGTAAGTTTTGTGATGTGAAGATATTTTTTCCAAGCGTACAAAAATTTAAGGTTAAAATATTTTTCAAATCGAATTTTTGATTCATAATATAATAAAAAATTTCGATTATAACCGCCAGATGGCGATAGAAAATGGTACATGGTTATTTTTCTAGCTAGCATAATAAAATCCGATTAACAGGGTAACGGTTATCTTATAGTCGCGACTCGCGACGTCTTTATTATTATTGTTGATATTCGACTAAAAAGAATTGTCTATAAAAGTATATAACTTTTTGTATAAGTTTTTCACATTACTGTCATTTAACAGAGAAAATGAAAATAAGAATAGGAATATGTGTATGTGCGTATCATATGAAGGTTTATCATTTTATGTTACTAATTGCATTCTGTTATGTTAACATGACACATACAAAAGTTTGATTTTTATAGTTTACAACGCGGTGTTGTAAAGTGTTGCCAACTTGTGAAGAATAAATTTATGTAGATGTTTTTAGCGGAAGAGGAATAATTCCGTATTTGTACATATCTATATATGTACAGGGACTTTTAGGTAAAATCAAAAATTATTTGCGAACCAAAAAAAAAATTTTAAACAACAAATTGTGCACAACTGCTGAGAATAAAAGAGGTAAATGAAACAAGCTGATTGGGCTGCACTGCTGGAATGGTTGCGCCAGCGCCTGAATAAAATCAATAAATCAATACTAAAAGCAATTGTAATTTCTAACTTTGAGGCTCTTAAAAATAATCAGCATTACTATACATCGCTCAAATATATGCACGGAATAAGTAAACCTAAAAATTAACTTCGGAATTTCATCGTATATGTGAATATTTGTGTAGGTGATATTAAACTCAAACATTCGTATGTATATACATATGTACATGCGTATGTAATAAAGTAAAAGAAAATAAGGTGTTCAACCATACAAGTGTAAACATAAACTAGACGAATACGTTAATAACGTATTTTTTATTTTAAATAAAAAATTTTTTGAAACAATATGCAGTTTAACACTAAATGCATTTACTTAAAATAATCGTTGTCTTTTCAATGTTTTCTTTTATTATAAATGTGCATTATTGTAAAGTAGTTACATATCCTCGATTTTTTTGTAGGGTAATAGTGACCTTTAACATCAGATCTCATTAGTTGAATTAAATCTAAGCAAAAACAACCTTAATGTTTAGTGTCCAGCTACATATATATGTATATGTGTGGCTTTGTTGATAAGAGTTGTTATTAAAATATTTTTTTAGAAATTTGTGAGAAGTCTGGCTAGAACTGAACCAACAATAATAACTATGCGCAATATTTGCGTATTTTGACGCTTTCCGAAATAAAAAAAAAAACACAAATACTAGCTTCGCTGAAAATGCCGTTATTTGGTAAGAAGGATTCCGGCAAAAAAGCCAAAGGAAAGGACATAAAGGATCTTAATAAACAAGTGTCGATCGAAGAGAAATACAATCTACACGGACTTCTGGGGACGTACGTAGTAAATAAATACACCTCAAAAAGCATATGATTAACCTCTTCCGATTGCATAAAAAGTGGAGCTTTTTCAGAAGTACGCCTAGCTGAAAGCAAAGATTCTCCTGGAGATCACTTTGCTGTGAAAATTATCGACAAGAAAGCTCTCAAAGGCAAAGAAGAATCTCTAGAGAATGAAATACGTGTTTTGAGAAGGTAAGTCCAACAAAAATTTTAGTTTAAATTTACTACTCATAAATTAAGTTATAAACAAGAAGAAACACTATAGTCGAGTGCCACGATTTCCGTTACTGTTATATCAAATTTTTAAATATTCATTTTGCCATCGGAAATTGACGAAGCGGAATTGACCTTTTATCAGAAAAAGAATGTTAAATAAATTAAGGCGATGTTAGTGTCCTTGTGAGACCCATTTGAAAATGATTTGGTTAATCGATAGATATTAACTAAAAATGTAATGACAAACGAAGACGTAAATTTTAATATTATGGACGACACAATTTTCCGCGGCTTGTGGACATTAAGTGGGCGTGACCGCAAGAAAAATTACCTCGAACTAAGGTCGATTATCTATAATACGTATATCTTTCCTAACTTCGTGCTTCGTCCCTACCTGCTATCACGTATAGTTACCGATATCTCAGCATTCGTCAAGAATGCTGCTATCATATTTCGCTGTTAGGGGGCGTAATAGTGGGCGTGGGCGTATGAAAATGTTACGGCGAACTGTGGTGGCACCATCTTAACTCTAACTTTCTAACTCTTACAGTGAGATCTTAGCGTTTTTGGTTTTCTGCGTTTTTTGGGCGTGTCCAGAAAGAGAAAAAATAATACCCATTGGGTGCATCATTAGAAACTGCATGCTTAATGGCAGCATGCTGAGATAAACTTGCGCTGCGTACGGACCATTGTTTCTCTAATAGTTTTCGAGATCTTAGCGTTCGTACGGTAGTCGTAGAGTAAAAGGGTATATGTAGCAACATTATTATTTTAAAATTGGTTAACTAAGTAACGGGTATCTGATAATCCCGCCACTCGACTATAGTGTTTTTTTCCTGTTTATAAGACTAATATGCAGTATTTTATTTAGAATATGAATCATAGCTAATATCTTACTAGTGTAAGATAAATATTTTGACAAAATTCAAATCTTGCTTCTGGTGAATTATTTTTAAATGACTTTGTGTAGAAATATATTATATTAGAGATATATCTTACATAACAAAAGGCAAGGAATAGAATAAGAATTTAGTAAAATATGTCAACTCCTTTGGTTTCGAAAACTTTATGAACTCAATTTGGTACTGAATTCATAAAATTCAGCGCGCGTCATAAACGGTCTCCAAAAATTTAACAATTTTTATGAGATGTTTAATTTTACCTTTCTTTTGATATTCTATTATACTTAGAATTTACTAGATTTGTATAATAAATTCCGCGTCATAATTATTAAAATGGTGTCACATAAATTACAAATTTATTTTTATAACCTGTTTAATTTCTTCCATTTTTACGATATTCATTATATTTTAAAAAAAAATTTAATTTGTTAATTTTATAGCGTTATTGTTCATATAAGATATTTTAACTGTATTATCTGTCAATTTTTTTTGTTTGGAAATTTAACATAATATTGTTTGATTAATAATTTGGTTAATAATTAAATTTTGGGAATCTATGATTTCTTATTAAAAACACAACTTCTTTAAAGTCAAATATAAGATGAAATCTTTCGTTGCTCCAAGCTACTTTTGTATAGTTCCGAGAAATCGCAGCTCCTAGACATTTCAATAGGAAGCATTGAAGTTTTTCCCTTCATTGCAATAATAAAATGAATTTACGGATTACTTTTGTATGCATTTTTTTCTGATCTGAGCGCGTATTAAAAAGTCTGTGTTTTCTTCATTTGTAAGTAGTCTGTCCGCTGTTAAGGGTTATAGTGATTGCTGCGCATTTATAGCAAAAAAAAAAATAGTTTTTTCTTCTAATTTTTTTTTTTAACAATTTAACATAAGTTAAGTAATTAAAAAAAAAAAATTTTAAAGTTATTATCAAAAATAAAGGATTTTTTAAAACCAAAATTAACAATACTAGAGAAAGCAAAAGTGGGGTTACTGTTTAAATCATGCATGAAAACATTTTTTTTTATGTTACCAATTTTAATTATATGCATTTTTTACAAACTTTTTATTGTTGTTTTTTTAATTTACTTTCTTTTCATGTTCAGGTTCAGTGCAAATCATTACGATGGCAAATGTCCGAAAGGAACGCGGTGAGTTCATATCCTGATCCCATTTTGAACTAAATATGCACGCGCATATATGTATAAATTAGTTACAGAACAGTAATTATTTAGGCTACATTCACATACATTTTTTAAAAAAGGAGTAAATCTGCATTTACTTTATTTGTTTATTTACTCAAAGGTTTGCTGAAATAATTTGGGAAATATCTCAATAGGGATGAACCAAATATATAATTTCTTTTATTTATTATAAACCGTGATATGAAGTTTTTATAACTTTACTTTCAGGTTAACTCATCCAAATATAGTGCAACTCTTGGAAACGTATGAGGATAAGTCGAAGGTGTACCTTGTTATGGAGTTGTATGTCAATCTAATTTACAAATCTTTTTATGGTACATTAAGGTTGAATGTTGACTTTTTTTAATCAACAGGGTTACTGGTGGTGAACTCTTTGATCGTATAGTGGAAAAAGGATCTTACACTGAAAAAGATGCTTCTCATCTCATAAGGCAGATTCTAGAAGCGGTTGATTATATGCATGAGCAAGGTGTTGTTCATCGCGATCTTAAGGTAAAGCCACCAATCAATTTATAACCGTCAATGTTATAAATCCTTAAAGTGTCCCATTCGCTACGGTGAACTTGGACACGAGAGTGTAGAGCATGGGTGCTCAACGCCTATGGTCATTTGTTTTTGTAAATGCTCGGAGCATATGGGCTTGCTAGCCCATAAGCTTTGAGCGCTCGCGTCGATATTAAACAAACTGTTTTTAATTTTCCCCTTTCCGCTTCATTCCGTTGCCAACTGTGCCAACTGCAACTCGTAGAGTAAAAGGGTATACTAGATTCGTTGAAAAATAAGTAATTGGTAGAAGGATGCGTTTCCGACCCTATAAGGTATATATATCCTTGATTAGGATCAATAACCGACTCGATGAAGCCATATCTGTCTGTCCATATGAACGCTGAGATCTCTCCCACAAATTGCAAAAAACTAAAATCCCATCTTATGGTTATACCATTATAACGCCACACCCAAGGTCATATCCGGCCATGCACTAGAGTGTAAACAACAGTAAAGAAGAGTAAACAATTCGACTTTTAAATCGATTTAATCGATCTTTTTGGTAAGCGAAAAAATCGATTTTTTAGGGAATCGATGCATTGACAAATTTGCTCACCTAAAAAAAAATTAAGTAAGCGAAGAAATTATTTTAAAGTAATATAACTCAAGAAAACTAATAAATATTACCCACTTCCAGAATAAGTGTGTGTTGGTGTTGAGGAATAAAGAGAGATTGATAACTATGTTCGTTTTTCAAATAAATAATGTAGATTTTTGTCCGCGCTGGATGCATAGTCTCCAACCACAAAGCGTCCTTGAAAACCAAAAACGTAGACAAGCTTATATCACAAATAAAAATCCATGGGTTTTAAATAAATAACCAGAAACATTGATCTCAAACAATTTTTTTTAACGAATTTTACTTTTGCTGCAACTGTAAAATCGGTGTTTTCTTTACCATTTTTAAGCAAAAAGTGCCTTTTTCATTAAAAAAAATTTATTTTTCGATTTTAAATCGATTTAATCGATCTTTTCAAGAATTGAATCGAAAAGAATCTATTCTCAAAAGGTAGAATTGTTTACAGCTCTACCGTGGCGTCCAAAATATTATAATGAATGTCTTCGTTCGACCTTGTATAACATTTTTTCAATGTCAATGTCAATATCTATCGATTTACCAAAGATTATTCAAATCAGAACAATATTTCGATATTTTTAAAGAAATTTAGGTTATAAGGCCTCACAGTGACGTCACAATCATTTAGTGAACATCCTTTTTTGACAAAAGGTGGCGCTTTGTCCATTTCAACTAGCAATATAAATATTTTACAATTGTGTAAAACATTAACGGGTATCTTATAGTCGCGGCACTCGACTAAAGCGTTTTTGTATATTTATTAATTTTGCTAGAACTGAAGTGCGGAACGCTACGAGCCATTCTTGACAAAATTTGAGCCATTCTATCAACAAAACTTATTTTTGCGCTTTGTGCATTTTGTTTCAGTGCAAAACTAACCACTCATAAATTTTTTGGCGCCAGAATACTCTATTTTATTACATAGTCAAACAAAAAAAATTCAAAGAAGTGAACAGAGCTGTTTTTAACTTGCCAATTATTTGTATTTGTTTCAACTGATCATGTAAGCGTAATAATTTTGTATTGCGTTAATTTTAACAAAAAAAACTTTTTTAATAGAATTTTTTTATCACGATTAAAAAAAAATTATGTAAATTTTGTTTCTAGCAGTAAGTTAATATTGTTCTAGTACAAACTTAGAAATTATATTTGTACTTGACTTGGACTTGACTACAGCATATCTCTCCTTTTAAATAAAATTTTAAATATTTATTAGTTAAACAGTAAATTTGTTAAATATTTGATTTTCTAACGGTGCTAACTTACAACTTTTATCACTAAATACTTCGCCCAAATGATAAGTGACAATGATGTAGACCAAATAATAAAACCCAATATTTACAGCCGGAAAACTTACTGTACTACAGTCCTGACGATGATAGCAAAATAATGATTAGCGATTTTGGCTTATCTAAAATGGAGGATTCTGGAATTATGGCAACAGCATGTGGAACTCCGGGATATGTTGCTCCTGAGGTCCTCGCACAAAAACCATATGGAAAAGCCGTAGATGTGTGGAGTATTGGAGTAATATCATACATTCTTTTATGTGGCTATCCTCCGTTTTATGATGAAAATGATGCAAATCTTTTCGCTCAGATTTTAAAAGGTGCCAAAGAAATAAAGCGAGTTAACTTCGGTAAACCGATGCTCATACATTTAACCCCTGCAGCGATTAACAATGTTCAAAAGATTTACGCTATGCTTTGAATTTATTTAAAAAGAGCGGCTGTCACCTTTGAGCTGAAGGCTGAGGCTAGTAGTAAAAAAGAAACTCGAGTGTTTTTTTTTAATAATAATAAAAAAAAATACATATATATTTGTTGACTGTTTAAGTATCGCTCACGGCAAAACATACATTTAATCATTATTCAGCTATGAAAATTGAGATTAAATAATTATTTGTCGTGATTGACAAACAGCTCATCTTAGGTGCGGCCCTAATTGAATATATATAATCATATTCATAGTTTTGAAAAACAAAAACTGTTTTATTCCCATTAAAAAGAAATTACATGTCGATTGCCTTTGTATTCTTTTATTACTTCCATTTCCATTTTAAAATTTATTACAATATAATACAATACCTTTTTCTAATCATAGGAGAATTTGAGTTCGATTCACCCTATTGGGACGAAATAAGCGAGTCGGCCAAGCACTTTATTAAAAACTTAATGTGTGTAGCAGTAGAGAACCGATATACATGCAAGCAAGCTCTGGCCCATGCTTGGTAAGTTCTTAGTTCTTAGACATTTTTAATATAAGATAGTACAAGAGAATAGCAATATTCAAGAGACGCGACCAAAGTAATTTTAAAGTAAATTCCGACTACCATCAAAGCAATATATAATAAATAACGCCATCTGTTGAGTAAACCATATATACATCTTGAAAATTTTTTGAAAAATTGGTCAGGTTTTTTCTCTTTGTGTAACGGGTATACAAATATGTTGAAACCTTTATGCCCTCTCAAACTAGGATTTCAGGAAATGAGGCCAGCAACAAAAACATTCATGGGACCGTGTCAGAGCAATTGAAGAAAAATTTCGCAAAATCCCGTTGGAAGGTACTTTGTTGAACTTATTATATATTAAAATCACTAACAAAATTGTATTTTTTTAGCAAGCCTACTACGCGGCTACAGTGATTCGACAGATGCAGCGAATGGCACTGAACAGCAATAGCAGTGCAAATAGTGATTCAACTAGCAATAGCAGTAACCAAAAAGACTCTACAGCTTCAGCAGAAGTGTCAGAAGCATCCAATCCAAATGTTGTATCAGCGCAGTCATATACACAAAGTCGTGTCCAAGAAGTCAATATGCCGGTAGGCAATACCAATGGAGCTTCACAGTAGCAAAGTTGAATATAAAAAATATGTTACGTATATGCCACTTTGGCTTAAATGACTTTAAAAATTTGTTTAATGTAATTAATAATTTTTTAATCGAAAATACCAAACAAATAATAACTTTAAAATGTGCCACCACCAGCGCAATCTCTGTATAATATTCAAGGGATGAGGTTTAATAATACTATAAAAATGAAATAGGTGGTTATACATTTTGGAATAATTATAAGAGCACGCTTCTCTCAGAAAAAAATGTGCAGTCATATTGAAAATTTCGTTTTATAGTTTCTTTTTAATTTTTGTTTATTGAATAATAGATGCCACAAAACACGAAAAACTACAATCGCTGAGATCTCAGGAACTATAAGAGATAGAAAGTTAAGAATGTATATTCTTGAGATGTACATCTTAAGGTGGTGACACTTTCCGGCCACGCCCATTGTTGCTCCCACCAAGTGAGAAAAACCGTTGGGGCTTTTTGTAGGAATGGCATAAAGCATTAAGCATGCAACATCTTAAGATCAGCGCAGCAGTGGTTTTATCAGTCGGCCAAGCCCATAAACCGCGGAAAACTTTGGTTACTCTAACTGTCTTGGTTTCACTGCATCTTTTTTGTCAATACCTATCGATTTCCTCGAAAATTTTAAAATCAGAACAATTTTTCACAATTTATTGTGGAATATGGGTTATATTAAACATCATTCTTTTCTGACTAATTTTTCCTGAATTATTCCGGGGATCAATTTTTGCTTTTATAATTATTATTTAAAAATCTTATCTTATAGCGCGATAACAGTGTTAATTTTTGTTTTTTATGGTAGCTGCACTGACTTGTTATCTTTTATTTATAAATAAAATTAAATAAAATATAAAATTTAACAATAACCTAAATAGCAATATAAGCAGAGAAATTTTGTATAATGGAAGCTTTATAATGCTTTCGCGAAACTTTGAGATAGATGGGCAACCTAGTATTAAAAATGGGACTGAGGCGCTTCAACGTTTTATAAGTGCAGTGCAATTTATTAAAAACTGTTGCCACGCCAACACTTTACAGGACTGTGAGTAGCTCAAAAATAGCTTGGATCGATTGCGTATGCCTTTTTATTAAGAATGGAGTTGTTAAAAATTCGAAGTTTTGAGCTATAAGGCTAACGTTATGGACAGTGACGTCACCGACAGTTAAGAAACGTTGCGTCTTGCTTTTTTAAGTAAGTATATGGAAATCAATTTTATTAAGGCAATAACTTGTTATATAAAACCAAGACACCCTTTATGGTCAGCCTTGGTGATATATAAAAAAACACAATAATGCTGAGTTTATATGTTTTAAATAAAGCTATTTCCTGTAATTATAAGTCACTTTTTTTTGTTTCGTCTCTTTTTCTTTTCAGGTTCATGGACTCCTTTTTTTGTGACACAAACGCGACAAAACCAGTCGTCATTGTCCTTAGGAGCAAAAGTAATGCCTACACAAATCCTAAAATAAAATTATATTGAAAGTAAATTTATTGAAGGTAAGTTTGGCTGCTATTTACCAATGGTACCAAGCATCACAGCCATCACATCCAATCATTGCAGAGCCATCGTCTACCTTCCCGCAAGCAGGGCAAATCCATATACGGTTACCATCGGCGTCAACATAAGATGATGGACGACTTTTTTCAGCAACGTAGGAATTTTCAGCTGAGATACATATGGGTGAATTTAATGAGTCACTTATTGTTGCAGTCCCTGCACTCTCAGCAATTACAGATGGAAAGCTAGCCATAACCGTATTAGGTATTAACCTTAATTGCTGTGGTAACAAAACAGAACTGGCTGAAAGAGTGGATGAAGCAGCGGTACTGTTATTAGTGCTGTGCTGCCAACCTACTGAATTTAATGAGGATTGACTTATAGGTATCTGCATTGTCCGCGCAGATATTTGGGAAGTCACTGGTATAAATGGTGCTGAATTATCATAATTGTTGAGTAGAATCGACCCTGTACTTGGTATACCTAATAAATGTGTTTCAGCTAGAATAGATATAGTTATTTAATAAAGTATCTGTAATAATCGAATAAGTACCTTACGTACATTGTTTTGTCTTTGGGGGCCCGGTGACCAATGGAGAAAAGCGTGCTAGTTCCGGAGAATTATTCCGCTGGCGGTCTTTGATTTCTGCAGGAAGTATATTTTGCTGATTTGCTTTTCCGGCATCCGGCGCTTCTTTTTCATCTTCAGAAGTCGGATACGTAGATTTGCCACTAAGTTTTAGTGTTATTTTTGGTATTTGACTTGGAGAGTGTTGTACCTTTGGAGATATTGGAAAAGTGGCAATTAGCGGTTGTCTCTTTGGCATTGGACTTGAACTCTGTACAGTTGTACCCACGAATTCATTTTGAGTAGAGTCAACTTCAAGGCTATCAATCAAAGGCTCAACGGAAAATTCGTCTGATTCATCTGGTACATGGATTAATATCTAAAAAGATAATTAAAAAAATTGACAACAAAACTAGAATGTGATTTAACTTTTACAGCGCTTTCACAGCGACTCAATTTTATTTCTTAGCTCATGTAAAAAGGTAAACCTTTGAAAATAATTTTAACATTGTAATGATGTCAAAACCATTCCATGTACATATCGACATTTATTGTGAGTTACTAAAGGTTTGTATTTACTTAGAAGTCATTAAAGCAATTTGACCATGTAGCAATAAGTAAATATTTTGTGTCTAACTTCAAAGAAAAATAATCTCTTATTTCCAAATTTTGTTAAAAAAACTCATCTAAAACCACATTATTTTAAAGTAATGAAAATATGACTAACCTGTTTATCCTTATCCTTTTTCCTCTCCTTTTTTTGTCTTTTATCGAGGCCTCTTATTTTCTTGTCGGTCGTACAAGACGTTACTCCCATGCGATCTTTTCTCTTTGACTTATCTTTCTTGTTTTTTTTTTTTTTAACTTTTCCTTCTTTTAGCTTCTTAAGCTTTTTATGATGTTTTCGCGCTTTGAGATCTAATGACAATGTATCAGTTGGTGTAATAGTAATGTCTTCATAATTCGAATAGGGCGGTAAAAATTGTTGTTCTTCTGAAATAGTTATATGATTTGGTAAAATGGAGTTTAAACCTGATGTCGCACCACCTGCCAAGCTACTAGATGGCACTTTGTGGGATGAATATGCCGAGCCACAATCTATTCTAGACAAAGGGATAAGATCTGCCCCTCCGGCTAAACTAAACTTATCACCTCCTGTAAAATTTGGCAAGTTGAATTGCGGAAATGTAGAAGGTGTAGAAGCTGTGTTGATTATGGTCTTCACATCAGGAATGCTTAGTTTAACCGACTTCTTAAATTTTTCATTCGATTCGTTAGAGGTTACCGTCAAAATATTTCTTAAATCCACAACAGTCTTGTCTTCACACTTAGATATTGAATGCCCAAACGACGAGGAATGTGAATGTATCGACTTCGATGCAATGCGGTTTGGAGATGGAAATGGCGATTTTTTTTTAACCGACTTTTTATTTTGTATTGACTCGTCTGAATCATCTGAGACCTCAATTGGATCACCGAAATTTCCAGAAGCCTGTGCTAATGCACGTTTAGCCTTAAATTTAGGAGAAGCCTTCGCAAAAGCATTTCCCAATTCGGTATTGCCAGAAGTTTGTGGTTTACCTAAATTTTAAAGAAGTTAATAATCAGATTTTATAGTTTTATCTTGAAACTTACAGTCATCCAATTTCATTGAGTCGGGTACTAATGGAGCAACGTTGCAATAGTTTCGATCTGTCGAAGGGCCCCTTTGCATTTGATCAGTAGCAATATCTTGAAAAAAATATAATTAAAATAGAGGTTTAAAATTTACCTTAACAACTTTAAACAGCCAATTAATAATCTATTTAGTTTACAGTGTTTCGGTTTCCTTTAACAAAAAAATGTTAAAAATAAACGTTATAAGATGCCCGTTCTGAAATTCACAAAGCGCCACCATTTGTCAGAAAAATCATCTTGACTAAATGAGGATAACGTCACTACCCATGTGAGGCCTTATATTCTACATTTCTTCATAAATGGCTAAATAATATTCCGATTTAAAAAATCTTTTGTAAATCGATAGATATTGACAAATATATATACAAGGTCCCGCAGTTTGTGGGCGTTAAAGTGGGCGTGGCAGGATGAAAACTAGGGGCAAGTTGAAATGGCATCTCTTAAATACGTTTTCTTAAGCACAACTTTCTAGCTCTTATAGTTTCCGAGATTTTAGAAAATACGAAAACCGTCTATTGAGCTTGGTGGGTGTGGCCGGATAATGGTACCAGCATAAGATGAGCTGGCATCTAAGGATTATACATACTTAATTTCAACTTTCTAGCTCTAATAATTCCTGAGATTTCAGAGATTTTAGTTTTTCGCGATTTGTGGGCGTTAGAGTGTGCGTTGCAGGATGCTGAAATAAGCTTGGGTTGCGTATGGACCTCAAAAATCTTCATGCTTAATCTCTTTGTATCTCTTGTAGTTCGTAAAGAACGTTAATAGTTTTCCTCGGTCTGCAGGCGCTACAACAGGCTTGGCTGGATATCTAAAAAACATAAATTTTACAAACATCTCTTCTATTCTCCTATACCTCCCGTTTTAAAGCTTAATTTAATTTATTATACCCTGGCTATATCTTGTCATTACTGTATTAAAGTCGATGCGGATTATTGTTGTTGTTACTTTTACACGCGTTGCATGTAGAGTAGAAGGGTATTCGTTGCAAAGAGTATAGTAGAAGTGTATTCGTTGCAAAGTATGTAAAAGGTAGAAGGAAACATTTCCGAGGCTCCTACCCATCGCACGTTTATCTCAGCATAATGGGCGTCCTATAGACGCGGCACTCGACTAGAGAGTTCCTTCTTGTATCTGAATAAATTATCGATCATTTTATATTTCGTAAGAAAAATGATGCCTATTTGGTGTGCCTTATAACAACTAGTCTCAGCACAAAGATTTAAATATTTTTGACATCGACTATATTCAAACTAAGAAATCATGAATCTTCCATAAAATAAACCGTTTAGCAAAATATTTCAATAGATATAATACAGAACGTTTTTGAAGATATGCATTTTTCAACCCCTTAAGCATTTTTGCACGGATTATTTTAAATATTTTTTTTAAATTTCTCTAATATTTTACATCTATAAACTCAAAATCAACTAAATTAAATCATTTGGGTAATCTACTTTTTTTGTCTATTGATAAGAGCACTCATTTTGAAAAAAATAATGTTCCAATATACCAATACCAATAACAATATCAATATATATATATAAAATACACCCTTTTTGAAGTTAACTAATAAACAAGAATTATTTAACTTTAAATAAAAAAAAAACATTTGTTACTTCGGATCGTAGTTCATAATTTATGTTAAATACTTTCCATTGCCAGATAAGTAATGCTAATATGAGTTCAGTGAGAGCTAAATGTATAAAATCCTCACCTTGCTTTCTAGTATAAGCATTTTCATCCCATTTTATAAATTTATTAAGATGATATCAAATTTGTTGATCTTTGCTCAATATTCGAAAATTAATAATGAGGTTTACATTCTTGTTGTTATTAATAAAAACAATAATTACAATAAAATGGTATTAATTTGACGTACCAGTGGAATTTGCAATTTGTTGGCATCTAACAATGTCAGTAACAGATCCATCTGAGCCCGAAAACGCTATGAACGGTGGTATGCCGACTCTGTTATTATTATTTCCAAAGCCTACCAGACCGGATACTGGAGGGAAAAGACCTGGCCCTGAAGGAATTAGGCCTGGCCGTGGCGGAAAGTGCAACAATGGAAGCAAAGGAACCATTCCAGTTTGATTGCCAGGATACAATGCGGTATTTGGTATAGCGCTAGATATTGCCATAAATGAGTCTGGTAAATCTTTCTTTTGTTTTGGAGCATTTAAAGTAGTTAGTGTGGATGATGTTCTTTCAGGAGAATTCACCTTGGTGCTGCATATATTTATATTTTCTGTTAAGATGGTATCATATTTTGATTTGCACTTTTTTCTCTCCCTTTTATACTTTGCGTCAGAACTGGGAAATGATTCGTTTGAGGCAAGTTCTGTGTTGCACAGGTTAAGAGGCTCTGTTGGTATAGGGGCGGCTAAGAAATGTTGGGATTTTTGCAGCGAACTGGAAGCTAGAGGGAGTGGGATTACATTAGTTGACTTTTCATTTTTACTCGATTCAATTGAAGAATGCGATGTACAGTTTACATTTTTCACAAGATTTTTACCACCAGGTTTGCGACCTCGCTTCTTTGGCTTTACTGAATCAATTATTTGCTTTTTAACGCCGACTTCAGGTGAAAGTTGATTGTAATCCAGCGTACCAAAAAGGTTCATTTTCATATTAGAAATGCTTTTGTTCTCTACATTCAACCCTAGTGAAGGTGCAGGTGTTATAGTGGTCCCAGATGGAAGACTAATTAATGGTGTAGTATTGCTTCCAAATACACGTACATCTATTCCAGGAGGTACAGAAATTAATCCATCATCTTGACGGTGGCTACGTGGTTTAGAAATTTTCTTAAAGATGTCCAACTTACTTCTTTCTGGCAATGGGACTTGTGATTGATCCATTGTCTGTACTGGAAAAATTGAACTTTGGGAATTACTTTCAATTTCCCTTATAACTAAGGGCGCCTCTGTGTGGATATCAGCAGGATTTAAATCTTCTGTATTTATGTTTTCTTCAAAATTAAAGCCTATCGTACTTTGATGACTAGAGTAATTTTTATCGACAAGTTCCAACTGCAGACTTTTCTGTTTGTATTTGACTTGCTTCTTTAGCATCTTTTCTGAATGTATTTTATTTGCTTCGGATGAGCTGTATACCCGATTGACTCGTTTTTTAGATTTTTTCAGTTGCAGCATTTCACTACTTAAAAGGTCATTTTGGTTCCTTGCAAGTTTATGATACATTTTTAAAGCTCTTCGCTGAGACTTTTCATGAGATTTAGCTATATTATTGAATTTACCTTTTTGACCGGGCTCACGTAAAACATCTTCTTTGTGTTTTTTAATTTTTTTTGATATTGTAGTTGTCGGATTTTTATCATTAGCATTATCATTTGACAATAATCCAACATTTTGGTTAAATTTGTTGGCTTCTAAAAATTGAGGGGGCTTCGGTATTATTTTTCGTGAAATTATTTCTGTTTTTTTTTCATTTGCTTCAAATTTTTTAGAATTTTCTAACGGCATGACAACAATTGACGAAGGAGGTGGTGCATTTAGACCTCTATATTTTTCTAAAAATACGGAATAAATGAAAATCTTTTAGAAAGTCATAAGGCTATGTCGTACCAATTATATCCGGTATAAAAGCTTCTGGAAGTTTTCCTTCAATAGCTGGACTTATAAAACCGCCTGTTGTCATTACCACGCTGCTCATTTCGCGGACTGATCGACCAATATCCAAGTCAGGGGAATTCGAAGGAAAACTAACCAAAGCGATTGAAGAAATAGAATCGACGTGATTGGAGGGCAGTTTGCCCCCACAACTTGTGGCATCAACGTCAGGCTTTGACACAAATTCTCGTTTTTGTGTAAATTCTTTTTGAGTATCGGTTTGAATTTCCAGAGGCTCAGGGTCCTGCATAGGTGGCAAATACTCAAATATGTACACCGGTCGAGTAAGGGTTTCGGCGCTTCCAGGTTTGAGGAAGTTCATATTTACGGCTTTTTTGATAGGAAACTGGGCTACATCTCTGGCAAATCCTACTGGCTCGACATTCCCAATGTAATCCAAAAGCTCTTGAATATTTATGTTAAGATTTTTTATACTGAGCCGTGCATCCTTAAGATTCGGCTGGGTCCGATTTGCTAAAATAAATATTCAATATATATTATTTATATAAAATGGCCATCCGCTTAATATAATTTGACAGATTCCTCTTCGTGAAGATTTTATTCACTTTATGTTTTAGTAAATGGACTTATTAATTAAATTTTAAATAATTTTATTTTTAAATATTTTGACTTTCGTAAATAGAAACAGAAATCTACGATTCTGACAAGAAGATTCACCTACCGTGCTCCATATGGCCATGGAGGTCACGGGAAAACTCCTGCGTGAACTTATGCATTATATCTTGCAGTAGCTCTAAGGGTGCACTCAGTGTGCTGCTGTAACCAATGGTTTGAGCTATTTGAGCAATAATAACAAGAGCCAAATCTGAAGCGAAATGATCTGCCATTGTATTAATACACTCTAATAGTAAGTTAATCCAACAAATGCCAATATATATTTGGGCAGCCTCAAGTACTTGGGATCAGATAGTCTTTTTGAAAGGAGTTAACACGTTGTTATCTGAATATTCGTTCTGATTATAAACGAGGTATCTAAATAACAAGTTCCTTTTTGTGTGCGATAGAATGATTAAACTAAAGTGATGCTATATTTCTAAAAACCCTACATATGTACATCAAATTATAATTAGTTATTTAATGTCGATTCGGAAACGGTTGAAATGGAACTGTGACGAATTTTTTCCCCATTGGTTTTAGATACGTTGAAAAGAAAACGAGCTTGATATATTAATGTTTTCTTATTACACATATGTAAGTCTCCCAATGTATTAAAAATAAATTTAAGAAATCGGCGGCTTACTCTTTGGAATATACTATCAAGCAATTAAGCCTTAATTTAATTTGTAAACTAAAAATTTTGACTTACGGTGGGGGTGTTAAAAGAAACAATATTAAATGCAAAACCATGATACTACCAAGCAATTGGAAAAGCTCTATCCATTTTAAAGATATTTCAATAGAACTCAAATAAATTTAAAATAGGGATATTAAAATTTCAGTCTTTTTTACCGGTCTATTTATGTGCATAATAAAAAAACCCTTTCCAGATACAAAGAAATTTAGCAAAATTGAGTGTGAAGTCGGTTAAAGCAAAAATTTTAAACTCGCCGGCAAATGTGTTAATAATTTATATTTTTATACACGTAATTCGTATAAGCCTATATATGTACATATGTAAATATGTAGGTAAATGTTCTAGGAAATTATGTAACTAGTAAAATGAAGTACTTGTATAATATTTATATAATATATATATTATTTATTTGTTTCTTTATAAATTATTAAAAATGCATATTATACATGACATGTGTGTGAACGGCGAGGAGTAGTTCGTGTAATACATACATTTGTATTGGGAAAAGTCCGCGAATCAGTCACTGCTGCAACATATGTATGTACATACATACATATATATATATGAATATAAATTTGTAATTTTTTTAAATTTAATCAAATTTGGCAAAGAAATAGGATTCGCATAATTGAACATACTTACATACATATGTATGTACATATGTATGGATTATTCAAATATTATTATAGATTAAACTTTAGGCCATTCCGGAATATTTATAGTTGATATGACTTAATAAGAAAATGGTATAATAATATGATCTTATTAAAATATTACCTTCGGAAATACATACATATGTATGTACTTATTTGCATATATATGATGTATGTGTGTACATTCATATGATTGTATTTATGGAAGTATGTCTAAAATTTACATTCCATTAATGGAAACAAATCGTATTTATAAAGGTATCGTTCTGTGCATTTTTTGGTGTTCAGAGTCTCAAATTCACAGTAGACACCAATACTCGGAATAGTCTTGAAAAATAATCTCGTCGTTTAGATTGACGATTTAAGAGATTCCTAGGTGGCGCAAGATTTTTTCGGCATCCCGCACCATTCTATCTACATATGTATGTATGTACATACATACAAAAGGCCCATGGAACACTACAAAATGTGAAAAATGAACACTACAAAATGTGATCTTATTCTTATAAACTCTTTGTTTATGAAAACTACAAAAGCTAGAAAGTTGGGACTTAGCATTCCTATGCGAAGATCTCGGTAACTATATACAGTGGATCGCACATTATTTCGTGCTGCTACCAAAAAAAGTATGAGTTGTTATTCCTGCTAAACCAAAAAGATATTAAAAAAATGTAAACTCAGTTTTTTAATAGGGAATTTTAACATGCTTATTAAACTTAAACGATTTTCAAAATAATAAAAACAAAAAACTTTTGTAATAAAAACAAAATATTTAGAAATTTTTTATGCCGCATCTTATTTTGTGCAGAAGATTCTACTTAACTTATTTATTTGTAATTTAACAGATATTTTGTATGTCATATTTTCTGGTTCAGGACAGCTTTGAGATGATTTCTCATGAAAGAAACGAACTTTTTTGTGGATTCCACTGGGATTTTTCCCATTTTGCCATTCTTCCATAGGAACAGTATTCCGATCGTTTTTGACAGAAATCTTCCTCTTCCTTACAGAGATGTCCAATATTTCCCATAAATTTTCAATCACTATCAAATCTACATACTGTACTGGCGTTATATCGACATGAGGGCAGGTCCTGATGTGCCAGGACTTCACTTTTCCTGCTCAATGCTGCGGATCATTGACCTGGAAAAATCGTTTATTTACAAAAATTTTTTGTTTTTGTGATTTTTAAAATCGTTTAAGTTTAATAAGCATGTTAAAATTCCCAGTTAAAAAAAACTGCGTATATATTTTTTTAATATCTTTTTTGGTTTAGCAGGAATAACGACTCAAACTTTTTTTTGGTAGCTGCAGGAAATAAGCTGCGATCCACTGTATGTACATACATATGTATATGCACACATAGCACGTATAATTAAAATGTTAAATCTTTGGAATTGTTGTTTTTTCAACATTTTATGAAGTGTACGAATAATTTTTGTGCGTAAAAAATTACTTTTGTGTTATTAAGGAAGTTATTTAGTATTTAAGTTAAAACTTGTTAATTTAATGTTTTAAATATATAGATAAGAGATATATGTAGATATTATATTTTAATTTCCTTTACATATTTTCAAGATATTAAGGAATAAACTTGCAACTCATGGGTGTACGAATAAATTATGTGCCGACTGTACACACATACGTACATATGTATGTATGCACATATTTTAAAGATACCAGCGCAGCTGAAGGTGGTTTCATCATCTGGCTTCGCTCACTCTCATAGGCACGAACTGACAAAAATAGTGCCGCTGTTGATTTTCAGGCTTATATTTTGGATTGACCTTTACATGTACATTTGTCAATACTTAACAATAATTTTCAAATCAACATATTTTTAGTAAATTATTTAAAAATATACATATTTATGTACACATGTAGGTTATATGGCCCCAAATTAGCAGTTACCTAACACTTTCCTATTCTTGTTTTATGTACATATGTACATATAATTACATTTATAATTTATCCAAAAAAAACTAGGGCTAAGAAAATGAATTCGAGTATTGATAAAGCAAAACACTTTTTCGTGGAAAGCGGGATCTTAGGGCCCACCAATTTTAGAGACTCACACGACTTGTTTCGGAAAACTTCTACTATTCACATTGATACAGACTTAAAGAATCAGGTAAGAAACATTATAATTTATATCAACATATATGCATGTAAGTCTCTCAACATTTTTAAAACAGATAAGGAAAACATCCATGTGCTTGCGGTCGAAGGTATTTATTGATAAGACTACCATCAACAGAGCAGACGATTCCCTTATTAATCTTCAAAGCGAAATCTCTAATATAAGAGATACATTAATCAATGGAGAGACTAAAATTATAATTCTCCGTACTGAAATTGGCAAACTAAAGGTAACAATATAAAATTTTTTTTTTTTTCGTTTAAATATATGGTACTGTTAGTAAAGAAATAAAATCTTGAAAGTTGCCATCTTAGCAGACAAAACGAAATCATTTCGAATTTTATAACTGATAATTTTGTTTTAACAATTATAAATATATACAATTTTGTAATCGGAAAAATACTTAAATCTCCAACAAAATACAGTTAGATTTTGTTGTTTAACACTGGAAGACGGTTGTGTTCAACCACATATTGGAATTAATTAAAAAACATTCCAAATTTTTTTTATTTGTCAGGATACTAGAATGGTTTATGCAGCTTTGCATATATATTTTACCCTAGAGGTTTTTAAAATCACAATCTTAAATGTTATTTAAATTAAATAGTAAGGATAAACATTTTAGTAATTTAACTTTAATCATTCTTTATTGTTTTTCATAGTTTTAAGTAGACTTTTTTGAATTAGAAATTATAAATTTTTACCATTATTACAGCAAACACTTCAAGCTATAATGCATGCTCAGATGGAAGCTCGAAAGTATCTTGATGAGATAAGCATAAAAATTAATAATCCAAACACGAGACTCTGTTTATTTTGCCGACCTAATAATAATTCCGTGAAAGAATCGCCGAGCTCTATCTATAGACACAAAATAAATAATCTGAACCACAATGTTTTAGTTGAAAAAAATTAATCACATTGTGTGTTTCGATGGAAAATAAAAGTATTGTACAAACTTGTATTATATCTGAGGGTTTTTAATTAAAAAAATATATTGCTTTTTTAAGAGTTTTAGTTTGGTGAGTCCTGTTTTGCTAGAGTACAAAATTATTCGAATTAATTGTACTTTTTATTGATGTTAAATTATTCTATTACAATTGCATAATAGCGTAATATTTACAATAAAATAATCACGTTATATAACATATTTATTTTACTAAAAAGTTTAAAAACTTAGTTCCATAGAAAGCACTTTGTATGGTTAAGAACAACCAAGAAATGCATTAATCCATGAAATTAAAAATACAATCGGAACCTTTTACATTTATGTAAAACTAATTAACAAAATACAAATTAAAAATGTTGAAGAATTCCTTAAAAGTATTTGTTATTAATAATAACTGAATATAGGTTATTACTAGATTATTCGAACTCGGTTACAAAAATATCCATGATTTATAAATTATAGTAGAGAAAACGTTCGGTATCTGATTTTTGTGTTAAAATAAAAATTCCATTGTAAATTTAGTGTTTTAGTGTTTTTATTCAATGATCCTGTAACGGAATCATGAATAAATCCGAAGTTTAATGAATGTGTATTAATCTATTAAAATTATGTAAGTTAATGGCACCAGCTTGAATTGATTTCGAAACGTCTGCTTAAGCCTATGCCGATTTCTTATAAAAAAAAAATATAAATCCATTATTGGGATATACAGCCATATGACAAACAACATGGTTTTTTAATCAACTTTATTAAATTATTTTAACTTTATGTCTTAACTTGGTAATCGTGCCCTTATGATTGTTAATACGTATTTTTGGCAGAAATGACAATATATTGAAATATCTAGATTTCTAGAGCAGTTATTAACTTTCAAAAAAGATATATATATATATATATAATACAAAGCTAGCAAAGATTAATAGTAGAGTCGTATTATAGAAATCCATCACACATCCAGCATAAGTATGCTATTTTGATTTTTAGCGGGAAAAAATAAATTTAATTTTATTTAATACTAGCGCGCCCGCCTTTCAATGAGAGGGACGGCCGTGCCATTAAATAAAACGTTTTCTTTTCACTTTTAGGAAATCCCCCATTCTGGATCCTTCAAAAAAAATAAACAAAATTACAAAGACTTAAATGAATAAAGTTATCAATCAAGTCGATTAACCACGTCGGGATTAAAAAAACAATTTTTTGTGTGAATGGTGATTCGATAAATAAGAATATTTCGATAAAAGTCATATAATAATTGTCTCTTATCTACTTAAAACGCTCTTTATAGTTACTCATATCTCAGCGTTAAATGGGATAAACAGACAGACAGACGAACATGGCTATAAGGAAGATCGACCTCATCATCAATCTAAGGTATACCATATATTTATAATTCATGGCTTTTTACTCCCGATAACGTATTTGTTATTGAAAACTAAGAATCTTTGGAAGATCATTACTAAGAAAGAATTTTGCCAAAAAGGTTTAAGTAAGATCTTTTAAATGAATAGTATCTATTTTTAATAACCAAAATAGAATTCCAAATTAAAATATTCCTCGCTTAGCTAAGATAAACACAATATATAAGTGTTCTATTTATAATTTTTGGATACGTATATGTTGGTTATCAATAAAGAATTGTTTATGCATTTGTTTGTCAAACAGCTGTATATAAAATAGTATTACACTTTTTAGTTTTTAGTCTAAAGACATCATTATTGACTGGATAATTATGACTGCAGCGCAAAATTAAACCTGTAAGCTTGAAGTTTTTTAATTATTCTTAATTATGTCTATAACGACGCAGTCGCGCGCTATTTTCAATTTTAGGATCCCCCGGTGGTGGAGAAATGTTGCATTGAGGTTGTAGCTCAGTGAAATATTCGTTCATGGGTGCTTTCTTTGATTCTTCGTTTTGAAAAACGTGGGCCCTATTATATTTAGTTTTTTCCGCGCTCATAATCTCGCTGTCATCAAAACTTCCTAAAATTGAATTGGGAATGCCACGGGTCCTTTAATGTTAATTTAACATAATTAGTATTTGTTGTATGATTTAAATTAAAGGTATACCTGCTAGATGTTCGTGATCGGGGCCTTTGAAATTTTAACTGTGATTGCCCAGGGTCTGTGACATATTTTCCTTCGGTTGATTCTCTCCGACGACGTAAGCCTGAATAATGAATAAAATCGTATAGTAAAAGGTATGCGTTAAAAAATAAGTAAGAGGTTGAATGAAGCGTTTCCCCTCTTAATCCAGGTTTACAGCCGAGTCGATTAAGCAATATCTGTTCGTATGCATGTGTATTCTAGAAGTGCCATCAAGGAAACTATAAAACTATATTTTGGTTGACCTCTTATACAATTTTTTGTCAAAACCTATTTGTAACTATTAAAAACCTAATCAGAAAATGTTTTAGCAGCAATTATGCTGCAAGGTCTCACATGGGCCACTTTTAAACAGCGCTTTATATGGATTTGGTAATAACGCTGTAAAGCCGTTTTAGCTTGCATATAGTACATCAACGTTTAGCAATAAAAAAAACTATATCAAAGACTATAACCGAGGGACGTGACTATCAATCACACATATACCGATTTATACAGGCACGCGGAAATGACTAAAACGAATCTGCTTTTGATTCTGATAATATACTTCATATCAACCTTATATGTGGTACATACTTTTCAATTAATACATCAATGAATAATATTTTAATTACAAGTAACTTAAATTATCATACCTAAAGATATACATTTTGATAGGCAAGTAAATTATATTATCATCATTGACGCTTAAAAAGTAGACTAAAAATTTAAATTTGAGACAAACCTGGCGTAAGATCCGTGATATTAGGAGAATAATCTAAAGCAACGGAGTATGTGTTTTTGTTATCAGATATAAAATCCGTTGTGGAATTTTGTGGATTGTTAGGGATTTCCGATTGGGATTCTAAAAAATCATTTGTCTTAGATGCGATTACAAAATCAGCACCCGCCCATGATGCACATTTTGATTGGCGAACTGGTATTTTGCTAGGATTCAATAGTGGATGTTCACATTCTGGATGTCTGTTACCATCAGAGCAACTTTTTTTTAATGAAGTTTTAGAATCACCTTCATTGTTTTTGGTTTCATCAATAATTGCATTGCCTATTTCACTACTTCCATTCAAGTCTATTTTATTGACGCGACTAATATTTAAGCTACAACACTTAGCTTTAATGCGCTCTTCGGTTGTGTGTTTTTGAATGGAAGTCGTTAAATTATTTATTGTGTTTGTGGGAGAGGCTATCTGTCCAGCTTTGGCTTCTATTTCATCGCAGTAAATAAGGGCTTTATCAGGGAGGTCATGGGATTTAACAGCAGTTGGAGTATTTTTAACAGCTGCCAATGCATCATAGTAAACAGAATCATCCAAATGAGAAGTTTCTATAAAAAAGAATACAAAAATAGTTGACTCCTTACTTAAATGTATGGTGAAATGGTATGTAAAATGTATATGTTATTTACTGTTTAATAATCACCATTTGGAATAACACGAATTTCTAATCGTCCACTAACACAACCGCTGTTCTCTGGGATCGCCGAGCTCAAAGCCAAATTACTGTTTTGGCAACCCGCTGTCTGTAGTCTCCATGGTTTATCGCCGTCTTCTATTAACTCAACGTCAGAATGTAACATGACCGGTTGGTCGTCAAAAATATCGGTCAATGAAACATTAGGAAGGCTGTTTCGATGTTTTGATCTGTCTTGATTATCATTTGAATTATTCAAAACAAAAACTTTGCCATCTTTAAGGGAATAAGGTAGGACACTCCTTGAAACCGAGGAAGTGGTAGGCTTAGCTTTGGCCAAAGAAGTAGTTTCCGAATATGTTTCTCGCACACAAACATTTCTTGCTATATCCATTCGATACACCTAAAATTTAAACAAATTATTATAATTATTATATTATTTTTTTTATACAATTTTCTGATTTTTGCAAACTACTTAAAATGTCTTCCCTTATGTTTTCATTCAAATGATAGCATACGAGTTTTTATATTATAGCTGAAATCTATTAAATAATCGAGTTTACTTACTGTGTTATCAAATGCAGCTTGCTGCACAGCCGGGGGTTCCAAGTCTTTTCGTAATACATTACCCATTGCAGGTTCTGACCAGCAGTGCGGTATGGAGATTCTTAAGGCTTCATAGTGTTCGATTCCAGTTATGTTCAGTGTGTATCTATAAAAATCGAAATGTTACACACCAATATACTTTTGTTGTAAAAATGTTATAATTAGGATAGTGGTAATGGTTTAGGTTAATCTAAATTAATTTGGTTAAAGAAGGTTACTACAATAACATTTAAAATTACCATTTAATTACCAATTTAAAAATATATTTGATTTTGTTTAATGTAATCTAATGTATTTTTAAGATGTCAAACTTTATTAACGACATTTATTTCTTACACATTATGTTAATAAAGAATATTTTGCAATTTGTGGCGATCTTGATTTGAATTTAGGTACTGGCAATATATGGGCGTTGAACTGGGCAAAACTAATTATACCCGTTACTCGTAGAGTAAAAGGGTATACTAGATTCGTTGAAAAGTATGTAACAGATAGAAGGAAGCGTTTGCGACCCTATAAAGTATATATATTCTTGATCAGGATTAATAGCGAAGTCGATTGAGCCATGTCCGTATGTCCGTCCGTCCGTATGAACGCTGAGATCTCAGGAACTATAACAGATACAAAGTAGAGAAGATGAAGATTCTTGAGGTCCCGGGACAGCGCAAGTTTATTACAGCATCCTGCCACGCCCACTATAGAAAGTTGAAATTCAGAAAGTATAATCTTTAGATGCCAGCCCATCTTAAAGTGGTACTACTATCCGGCCACACCCACCTATGCGCCCGCAAGGCTCAAAAGACGGTTTTCGGATTTTCTAGAAAAGCTGATATCTCGGTAAATGTAAGAGATAGAAAGTTAGGATTAAGCATGTAGGTTTTAATGATACTCCCACTCTACTCCCACGCCCACTCTAACGCCCACAAAATCCGAAAAACCGAAAATGCAAAAATCTCGAAAACTATAAGAGCTACAATATACAAAAACGCCCACAAAGCGCGGAAAACTGTGGCGTCTATAATATTATTATGAATGCCTTCGTTTGACCTTGTATTACTTATTTCTGTTAATATCTATCGATTTACCAAAGATTTTTCAAATTGGAACATTATTTCGCTATTTATAAAGAAAATAAGGTTATAAGGCCTCACATGGGCAGTGACGTCACTATAAGCATACTCAACATACTTCCTCTGACAATAGGTGGCGCCTTGTGAATTTCCACTAGCAAAATAATATTTTAAAATTTTGTAAAACAGTAATGGGTATCTTATAGTCGCGGCATTCGACTATATCGTTTCCTTTTGTTTTTCAATGCTTATGGGAATTTTGTATTCCTTGAAAAGTAAGTAATAAGTATAAAGAAGCGTTTCCGGCCCTAAAAATAATATACATATATTCTTTATCAGTAAGTTAATAAAGAATATTTTGCAATTCGTGGCGATCTTGATTTGAATCTAGGGACTGACAATATATGCCCGTTTAACTTGGCATAACTAATTATACCCGTTATTACATTCGATAAAAAGTATGTAACAGGTACAAAGTATATATATTCTTGATCAGGTTCAATAGCGAAGTCGATTGAGCCATGTCCGCCTGTCCGTATGAACGCTGAGATCTCAGGAATTATAAGAGGTATAAAGTTGAGATTAAGCATGAAGATTCTTGAGGTCCATAATCAGCGCAAGTTTTCAGCATCCAGCCACGCCCACTCTAACACCACAAAACACAAATAACACAAATAACGAAAAACTAAAATCGCTGAAATCTCAGGAACTTTTAGAGCTGGAAAGTTGAAACTTAGTATGTACAATCTTGAGATGCCAGCGCATCTTATGGTGGTACAATTATCCATTACCCACTCTAAACCCACTAAGCTCAAAAGACGCTCTATAACTATAAGTGATAGAAAGTTCGGATTAAGCATGTAGGTTTTTATGATGCTCACAATGCGAATTGTTTTTTCCCGATCACGGATTGTTTTTTTCACGCATGCAAAAATCTTGCGAACTATAAGAGTTAGAAAGTTGTGCTTAAGAATACGTATTTAAGAGGTGCCACTGCAACTTGTCCCTAGTTTTAATTTGGCCACGCCCACTCTAACGACCATAAACCGCGAAAAACTGTGGCGTCCACAATATTATAATGAATGTCTTCGTTTTACCTTGTACAATATATTTTTGTCTATATCTATCGATTTACCAAAGATTTTTTAACTCGGAACATCGGAAAAAATGTAGGCTAAAAGGCCTCACATAGGCAGTGACGTCACTATCAGTTACTCAACGTGGGAATAGCAAAATGAAGAATGATCTTCTATAAATTTTTTTTTTAAACCTATTGATTTACAAAAAACTGTTCATATCAGGATATTTTTCACAATATTTGTAGGTTATAGGGCCTCATATGCTCAGAGACGGCAGTTAATAAATATACTCGGCTCTGACAATAGAGGACTTCGTAAAATTGAACACGGCGTTAATTACTGCTAGCAGAATTATTATTTTAAATTCAGTTAACACAGTAACTGGCACCTACATAGTCAATATACTGTTCTTCTTATCTTTTTATACGAGTACATTTAGTTTTATTTCTACAAATTCGTGACTTACCTTTTCGGTCTGTTCTTTCTCTCGATTAATGTATTAACTGATTTGCCTGTATCAGCAACGAATTTCTTGGAAAATGGTTTGGCTTCAGTTAAGGGTAATGAAATATCCAGTTTAATCAATTGCTCCAAATTGGGTTGCGACTGCGAGGCGAAATGTACGTAGCATTTTTATAATCGGATTATATATTTACGTAAATACATTTTGGAAATGTATGGCATTTTCAATTGTAAACCAGTATTGCAACTAATATTAAACATATTATATGTTGATTCATATTTATAAAAATTGTCGAAAATGTTTATCATGACTACAGGAAGACATTTTAAGCGTTATAAATAGTAGGGATTTTAATTTACCTGTGGCTCTCTGTTCCATTCATTATCGGTAGTGTCCTCAGAGTCATCAAACTGACTTTTCCATTGGGATGCCAGGGTTAGAGCTCCGCCTTTAGTTACCTGTTGTAATGCTGAGACGTTGTCGTCGTCTATTAAAGCAAATTGAGTGACTGAATGATCCCCCGCAACGCTGCTTCTAGCAGTGTTGTTTCCAGTGCCAGTGCCTGTTGACCCCGTAGTGATCTTTTGGGTTGAATTGGCATTTGTTACCGATGAAGATGGTCGTAAATTAGTTGATGTAGCCGAACGTCGGTTGACTGTCGGCATTACAGACATTCCGAAAATTTGACCATGCTGGTTAATAGTAAATTTTGCGGCCGAGCCGTTTTCCGCGGCGATACCAGCATTAGTGTTGGTAGTATATCGATCTGGTTTCTCTGATAAATCCGACCCTTGTTGACCATGGCCTCCAGTCGCTGTTAAATCATGGACACTCGTAGGAGGTGCTGTAAGCACACGAATACGTCCAAAAGTTGATTTTTGATCTTCCGATGACCATCTGACTTCCGGGCTCTTTTCTTTTGTAACTGGCTCACGTTTTTGGATTTCCTTATTGGCAGACTCTTGAGAATTTAGTATTTTCATTTGGAACCTTTGTTGCTGTTCGACAACACACACGGGCGATTTACTACCAATACCAGCAGCATGTGTGTCCACATTATTCTGATCAAATGTATTCTTAACATCATTATCTACTATACTTTCAAAATCTGGGTTAGGTTTTGTTGTAAACAACATTGTTGGTGTTTTATCTTGCACTAGTTGATACTGTACAACAATTATTACTCAAATTATTATTATTCACTCAAAATATTGATGTTTTTATACTTACAGTGTTTCCGTACACCGGTGCAGAATTGTTTTGATTTGTTGTGGGAAACCCAGTACCGCTTTTGGGTTGGGAGTTTTTTGTATGAATTTCTGATTGGGGTACCATTAGCTGTACTTCATTATTTCCTATACTTGCCAAGGGTGATTTGTTTGGTGAACTCTCTATGTTTGCTATTGCCATTTGGGAGTTTGTGGCAAACGCAGCCTGCTGCTGGAGCAACCCCTTTGGTGATATATTTTGATTGCATCTCGTATTGCAATGTTGAACATTGGCTTCGCCAGATCCTTTCTGTTGAGGTGCTAGTGACGTTGCATTGCAGTTTCTATCGACCTTTAATAAGACATTACATTTATTTCACATAACGATTCGAATATACAACAAATTACATTTGAGGCACGTACTTTTTCCTTTATATGTAAGGGCTCAGTCGCTGTAATATGAGCGGTTTCGATATCAACACGCTTTCGCACCTAGTTAAGATATTAAATTTTTTGGTTGATTTTTGTTAGATAATTCAAATAATAAAAATGTTCTTTTCTGCGAAATAACTCGAATAACTTTATACTTTAAACATTTACAAAATAGACTGCATTACTTATAAACGTTAAGCTCAACGTTTTCATCGCTTTTTATTTCTGTGGTAATACATTTTAATATTTAAAAAATAAAAAATTAACCAATGAAAAAAGTTTGGTAGATCGATGGGTATTGACGAAAAATTGTTGTACAAGGTCAAATCAAATTAAAACCCTAATATATTGGGTCGAATGATAAAACCACCAGCTATGCTGCAGATTGAAGAGCACGTGTGCCTAATTCTAATTTACTAGCTCTTCCCGAGGTCTTATCGTCTTTAGTTTTTGGGTTCGTTTCATGTGCGTTAGAGTGGGCACGCTCGGATGCTGCAAAAAACATCTGTTGTGAGGATCTTAGATTCTGCATCCCTCATTGTTCCTAAGGATTTAGCGTTTATACAAACAGACAGACAGAAAACTTTAAAAACACTCGAAGTTCGGGGACACTGAATAATCATGGTTGTGAAGTCTTCTTTAAACTGTACGAATACAGGGTATTAAAATACAAGTTTACGGGAAAGAACTTACGTAATCAGTGCCGCTTGCGTTAGACGCTGCTACAGTCATTTGTGTTGTATTCCCGTGCATGTACTCGTTTTTAACAGGCATTAATGGGTTGCCGGTTGTTGTACTTATATTGCCAATAGCTGTAGAATCAGCTTTTTCCCAGTCGTATGGATCAGACTCTTTGACGCCACGCCTTTTCATACATCTTTCAAATAAACCGATAAGCATCTATAAAAAAAATATTTTTTTTTTACATATTTCATTGATTTGGATCATCATTAACTTACAGCATAGTCCGGTCGGTCTGCATAGGTAAGGGATTGAATGTGCTCCAAAAATTGTTTTAGATCTGACGGCAAATGCTTTAACAGTATCCTGTGATCGTACTTTTCCTTAGTTAAACCTACTTGTTCTTTGTCTTTTATTTTACGCCATGGGAGTTGGCCATTTACGAATTCGACGAGCATATAGAACAGAGACCACAGATCATCATGACGCCCCATTTCCCTATTGCGATGTGCATTTATAGATGCATAGCGAACAGTGCCTCGAAACCCAGCTGCTGCTCTTGGACACCGGACTTCACCAGTACCAGTGGTATACTGACGCGCCAATCCGAAGTCTAGCATATAGACGCGTCGACAATTATAAGGTAAGCGACCCACGGAAAAGTTACTCTAAAATACAGAAGAAAATTAATTTGTATCATTCTATACTATGTATTGAAAAACATAAGTATTAAAACCCCTAGTGGTTTTTAATATCAAAAAATTAATTTATAATATTAGGGTAACCAGAATCATACTAAAATTACTATTACCGGTTTTATATCACGATGAAGAAATCCCACAGAATGTATAGATTCGATGGCTTTTAGAATTTGTAACCCTAACCTAAGTGTTGTGCTAAGCGAAAAGGCCCCACGCGGTTGAGCGCGTCGGAGCTCAGCTAAATTCTTTCCTTGAAGCTGCATCACCACATAGTTAAATCGGTCATTTCGTCCGCATCCTATGAATCGACATACGTGCTCCTTCCCCTGTAGTTTTTTAAGAACAGCGACTTCCATTTTAAGCACTTGCTTCGGCTGGCGGGCGGATTCTACTTTAAGTGCGACCTGTTCACGTGTTATTAGGTCTTGTCCCTCATAAATTTCTCCAAAACCGCCTCCACCGATTTTTCGCACCACCTGCACGGAATAAATTAATAAAAATGAAATAAATGCGGTTGGTATTAAAGCGTTTTTTCATATAATGTACATATGTATATAATCTTAACCAGAAATCTTATGTTAGTCGATGTCGTCTATATGTCCATATCATACGAATTAAAATACCTACATATATTTGCTTATTTTTTAATCGGAAAATATCTATTTTGTTAATAACATGATTGAATTGACATATAAAAAATGCTTTAAAAAAATTGTATACCTGTTACTCATAAAGAAACTTCCAATTGAATCAAACAGTTTGAAAGGCTACATACCTAATATTTATTGGTTTTTAATTACATGTTGACAATCATAAGCATTAACCCAAAAAATTAGAAATGTATTAACAAGTATTGCCATTAGATAACTTAATCAATGCAATTAGGCCTTCACCACAATGGCAACCTGCAAAGTTTTTCTTTTTCCTTAATTAAAATCCTAGTAGATGTCGGCAGAGAACAGAAAACCACTCCGCCAATCTTATTTTCAATTTGAAAGTTAAACTGGTTCATCTCTTTTATGTAGGGCTAACTAAAAACTATAGTAACATAAGTTCAGCAAACTTTAGAATATTACAAACCTTTTATCCAAAGTCGATTGGTATTGACTAAAAATAGTTCTCAAAATCTCACCTCTTTTAATTTTTTTTTATTTTGTGGGCGAGGTTAATAAATATTTGCTGAGAAGGTATCTCTCACCTAATATGAACTTCCTTAGAACTAAATCAATAATTTTTAGAAAACTTTCCAATTATTAAAGCCTAGAATTAAATAAAAATTATAAAAACAGCACTTCTGTAACACTTCCAGCCAATTATATTGGTGTAATAACGATCTTAACATCACAGGAAAATTTGTTACATGCCCTCTCCGTCTTAAAATACACTAACACATAAGAAAAAAATATACTTTTCTTTTATTACAAGCCATAAATCATCACCATTTCTCTTAAAATAAACGTATGTTGGTCCCAATTTGACTTGACAACTACAAGAGACATAAAAATATCTCCTCTATTTAAATACAACTCTAACGGCATTCCCCAATAACCTAGGATTTATTTAAACTAACGGTACAAATAATTTCTGCACCCATGTTTCCTAAGATTGCACATCAAATTCAAATAATCATAAATCGACTTTCACAAAGCCTTGATACACGGACAGATCACTCTCCAATACAAACATAAAACTCAACTTTTTTCAAGTACGATTTTAAGTTATTGTTTGTTGTTGTTTAAGTTATTGTATTATTCTAGCAAATGCTCCGCAGTCTTAATTACCTGACAGTTTTATACTTTAGTCAGCTTGAAATAAATAAATAAATTTACAATAATTTCCGTGCAAAGAACTCCTTCATATTGACATTTCCGACAGTAAAAACATCTATTGTATCAGTTTCATCCAAAGGCAAGTTTGAGATTCGCAACATTCATTCTTAATTGTTCTATAAATTTGCCCATGGCTTAATTTAATTGAGAAATTTTAAAACTAAATATAGTGATTAAAGTAAATATATATTTAATTCATTGAGAATAAATTCATATATAACCTGTAATCCGCAATATTATTCTGATAACTATACATACACAAACATTAAGTTCAAACACACCTTCCAACGCTCCTTTACAACATGACCCGGTTGCAGCAGATCTTCAGAAGTCATTTTGCAGGATTCGGTCTCCTTAAAACCTACCACGGTTCTGGCCTTTTCGGCGGCAGCTTCCTGAGCTTGTCGTGGCTCCCGATCCAAATCCGGAGCAGGAGTTGTGGACGATGGCACCTTAAATGTCACACGACTGCGAACCCCTAATCGGCTGTGCTTTGCAGGTAAAGTGGCCGACCGCTGTAGCGCATTTGAGTATCTGTGCCTATCTAATGCATCTTCATCTGCTACATTCGCACCAGATTTTATTTGCCGTAGAAGACGAGATTCCAGAATCGCACCCGAGAGAGGCGGTGGTTTTGTTATCGGCGGTGGGTGAATCCTTATTAGATTATGCTTTGGATCACAGGCAAGACTTATGTACTGCTCCTGATTAGAAGGAGACTGATATCTATGATTACCATCGTCAGGCGAAGATGCATTTTCGTCGTTTCTGAAAAATAAGGAGACGTAGTGTAAAGCCTAATTTACAATATTTGTATAAACGAAGTTTTATAAAGGCTCACGGTGCGCACATCATGTGCCTGTTACCCAAAACATCATTAAAACTTGTTGTGGCACATTTGTGATGCATTTCAAAATATTATGTTTACATTTAAAACTATCTCCCAACATCTTAAATAAAATCGATTATCTAAAACTCGTTAACGATAGTTTAAGGTTGTCAAAAAGAAATATCGTAAAAGGAATACGTTTGTATATGGGGTATTCCCTAACCGATTGAATTACTTATACTGTAACGACACTGCATTGGCACTTCAATTATAGGTTTATTATTATTTATCAGGTTTTGATGGTAAGACATATAGAAGCTTTTTGTTAAAGATTGATTTCGTTACCTTAACAATACCAAAACTTTGAGTCCCGCAAACGGGAGTGTCTAAAAATGTTCCATTACTTTTACTGTGCTAGCTCATCCAAAGACCAAAAACATCAATTTGTCCCTCCTGCGTAATAGGAACATACGTAGCTCTAAGATCTCTATAACTTTCAACCTTAAGCCTAAAAATGGCAGACCCTTATTGAAAATTGGTTAAATGCGTTATACTTTTTTTTTAATCTTTTTGCACATACTCGAATAACTTTGATTTCAGAAATCTTTTTCCACATTAACCGCTTATTTTATAAGCGTAAGCAAAGTAGTATCGATTTATTTTAATGATTCAGAACTTGCAAAATAATATGAAGATGAATAATAATTATATGAAGTGTAGCTAGATATATGCATCACTTCTTTATTGTTAAACTTCAATTATGTAATTTATCCAATGTTTTTTATAAAGCACATCTTAATTTTGACTGGAGTGGTTGTTCAGGTGTCATAGGAACTTATCTTTGTTATTTCCACCCTTTGAAAGAAACCTCCCTATTTTAATAATAGCTTTATATATACATTGCGAGATATAATGCTATGACATAGAATTATCGTGTTCTTTTTTTAAAAGTATTTTTATTAATTTCAGAGAGGTTCAAGAAGAAATAAGAAATAAAAAATTTAATGTGGGTAAAAAATGTGTTTCAATAAAAAATAAATGTTCTTTTATATGTCTTTTACATTTTTTTTTTTATAAAAACTGAGCTTTTTTAAAAACACTTGTTCACATACCAATCAATTTTAACTACCACACTTTATTACTTTTAAGAAAATGTTACATGAAAATTAGTTTGCATTTCTGAAATATATAAAACCTTTTAATTTAAAAATCGTTTAATCTTAATACTTTTTACTTTAATTTTTTTATTTTAGACGCAGGCACCCAATGTTATAGATTTAATTTATATATGATTTATTTGTTATATTATTTTTACGGAAATAAAATACGCGTATCGATTTGTAAGCTTCTGTAAGCTTTCCCATCCAAGTTTTTTATTAAATGAAATCGGACAGCTGACAAAGAACAAGCTTTCATTTTCCAGGCTGAGAATTGCGCATGCTTCTCTAATTAAGAAGCCACAGGACCTTTTCAATTTGTGCGATAATCATCGATTAATAATATCCCTAGGTCGATAACTTATTTACTCAATTTATTTTAAGATTATGCCTGGTATAGGTAAATATACATAGCTTAAAACATACCTGAACTCCTGTAAATGCATTTTGGATGCAATCGGGGTTGTATTTAAACTGGTTTATTGTAGAGACTTGCGTGCATTTATTTGCGGTTTGGTTTAATTTATTGGCTAGGGCTTAAAGGCTGAAAAGAAAATATAATAGATTTTATTGTTATGTTGCTGGTGATCACATCTAACACTACGTACAATTATTTTTATTAATTTAATAAAATTTTACAAAATAAATACTCCAAATATTACATCGCCTACTTTTAAAAGCGTTCACGTTTCATTCATGATGTAATAATTGTTGTTCACTCAATTAAAGAAATAAATATAATTTTTCATTAATAAGGAAAACGGTATCTTGCCTATCTTCATACATCAATTAATTATGATTATGTTATGTTATGTAGGATTTTGCCTTATTTTAAATGAAGTATGAAATTAAACTTCAGTCGAAAATCACCGCAGAATTCACGTGAAACTATTTGTTCCAATTAAACTTATGTGTGTACATATATGTATGTAAGGTCCAAGGTATATACGTATGTACATAGATATGCACGTATACAAGTGCCACAACTTCACAGCATCTATACAACAAGCACTACTATTAAATTTTTAAAGGCCTTCATCAAAAGTCAATCAGCTTTTCACATACCGTTTAAATTTATTATATATGACAAAAAATAAAAACTCTGAATACTTGATCTTTTTTATATATTTAAAAAAAGTTTACAAAAGCTTTCACATGAAATACGAATTTCCTTTTACTGAATACTGCCCACTGAATCTTTCGGCATTCTGTGCATACAAGTATTCATGTATGTTTATACTATACGCATATTCGGATGTGTATATACATACATACATAAGTGAATAACATAAACAAGAACGAAAAGCTATCTTTAGGTCGGACAAATCTTGCAACCATTCGAAACAATCTGTTCAATAAAGTTATTTGAAATATATTTAATTTATTTCAGGTCTAAGTTCTTATTTCATATATCAATCAAAAAAATATCTGTAATATAATTTAAAATTTTGATTATTAACAAAAACGAACAAAGACATTTTCTAATTGTTAGCACTTAAGAAATTACACCTACATATGTAAAACTTTATAAATACACCATTCTCTCTGAAAATGTTAACCTATTTCTTAACTTTTAAACATTTAACGCCAATATACATTATTTATCCTTAAGCCTTTATCATAAAATTTTAATAACTGTGAATTACTTTGTTTGTCAGAAAAATACTGTTACTGAACAATTTAATATAGTTAACATTCATACATTTGTATATACTGCGTTGTTACCTTTGTAAAAAATAAAATTTTAAAAATAAGATATTGTAATAGCCTAAAACGTGTTTCATTGGAGCCGTGGTGAAATTTTCAACCGTTTAACACCGATGTGCCTTTGGGACTTTAAGCCGTTTCTGTGACTTTCGACTCAAATATGAATTTTAGTGTTGACAAACATTTAAGGTATATTGCTTACCATATGAATGTATTGTGAAACGTGAAATTAAATATGTATATTTCGGGGTAAGAAAATTTGACTTACACACACATCTTCTGAACCAATATTTAAGGAATAAAAAAAATAAACACCAAAACCTAATGTTCTAACATTCATAAAGCAAACCATATTTTAATCATTTTTTGTTTCAGAAATTATAAAGTATAAGAAGTTAAGATTTAGTACATGCTAGCGGAAAACTTTCAGACTTACTCCATAATAGTCCATGACATTAAAGCTTGATTTTTAGGTTGAACTAAGTGTATTTTATGGAAGCGGCACTCGACTAAAGCTTTCTTTTATTTTTCGTTACATGTAAAATAAATATATTAAGAACTTAAGATATAGGTGGCGACTTATGATCAGAGCAGCTAATAGCTCAACTGGCGGTGGTGTAAAATATTGCTCATTAAAAAATAGAATTATTAAAAAGAAACACGAAAAAACTAAAATCGCTGAGATCTCAGGAACTATTACTCCTAGAAAGTTGGGATTTGCCATGTATAATCTTAAAATGGGAGCACGTCTTAAGGTGGTATCACTATCCACTCACGCCCACCAAGCTCGAAAGACGGTTTTCGGTTTTTGTGAAAACGCAGATTTCTCAAAAACTATGAGAGATATAAAGTTGGGATTTAGGATGCAGTTTTCAATGATGCCACCGAGATCTGGCCACGCCTACTCTTACGCTCACAAAATGCCGCGTATACCAAACACGCTTAAATGGCGCCCACAAAACGCGGAAAACCAAAAACGCTAAAATCTCGATAACTTTAAGAGCTAGAAAGTTATGTATTCTACGTATCCAACGCATCTCGAGGTTATTTTTCATCCGACAACTCCCAATCTAACGCCCACAATCCGAGGAAAACGGTTACTTTCATAATATTTAAATGTAAATCTTCGTTCGACCTTCTATACGATATAAGTGACGTCCCTATAAGTTGTAAACGTACTTTTTCCGACGATGTCGTTTAGTTAATTTCAGCCAGCAAATGAATTAGAAACAAATGGAAATTGATTCATAGATTAAATAAAATGATGCAAATAGAGCATAGGATATTTGTTGTACGCTTAGGTAAAACTTTTAACAGATTAGAGGGTTAAAAAACAGAACAATGGTATAGTTTTCCGCTTCAAATATCAAACAAAAAAGGGTAAAATGTTGAAATTCTTGTGTCAGCTGAAGTGATTTTCCAAATAAATTTTTGGTGGTGTAATGGATTCAACATAGAAATAATGTGCAGCAAAATCAATATTGAAATCAATATAAAAAACTGTACCCAGCAGCAGTTGTTTGTCACCCTCAGTAAAAAAAATACACCCCTAAATCAGAATATAAATATGTACATATTGACAAGTGCTACCGTATAAAAATGTGAGCGCGTGAATGTGAGTCTAAAATTTGCTTAACTTATCTGTTTTGTTAAACCCTTATTAATTTAATAAGCAGTGGTTTATCCGAATTTCCCTTATTTTAAGTACTGCCCAGTGTAGATAACATACTAGCGCCCTAACTTATTTACGTAAATTGCAATTGCAAGAACTTAATATATTATTGTGTGGAACGACTAGTGGGCACAATTAATGATATCAGACGCAAGAAAAAATAGTTTTTAAAATGACAAGTAAGCACATGCATAAATAAGGCATATGTACGTACGCATACTTGCCTGTGTGTCCGTACATACATTTTGACAAGCTCTGGGGATGCTTGTGTTTCATCACCGTGGATGATCTCGTTTTTTATGTACCTTCATTCATAGGTATACATATCTACGTTTTTGTTTTCTTTTTTTTTTTTAATTTTTACTTAGGGTGGTGACGGTGGTGTTCTGACTGCACAAATAGGCGGAAGGTGGCAAAGAGTGCCCTCACTGTCCGTACTGTTAGTTCCAGAACCCAGGTCCTGCTCCCCTCTACTGGCCGTCTTTCCCTGTTTTCGACGTACACTTTGCCTTTCCTCTGCACCACCACCAACTTCATTATAATTTTGTCGGGGTAGTTTTTTTCTGTATTCGTTGCGATGGACCTAGACGTTGGATCAGGAATACCCTACTTGGTAGCTGGTACATGAAAAAACTTGTGTGGCCGTAAAGGGCATTCAATTGAGACCAAGTCCAACCACTAGAATGACACCCCAAAGTTTTTTGTCGGTCTGTGAAAAATTGGATAAAAAATGCTTGGCAGTTTTAGCATCTGAAATTTCCAACATTGAATTATGGAAAATCGATTTTTTCGGTTTTTGAAAAAAAAGATGCCTACCCTCGTTGTATTTTAAGGTACATATTTATGTACATACATACTGCTTTAAATATGTGAGCGTTTTTTACTTATTTATTAAATGATAATATAACTTATTAGAGAAACCTTCTCATATTAGAGAATTTTTTCTTCCTATCTATTGTAGTGATATGGGAGCAAATCAGCTTGAATATT